CACGTCAACCAACACGTGTGCAGCTGCTGTTGCGATCGATTCTCAAAGGCCAGATATGGAAGCAGTGAAACTGTCTTTAATCTAACAAAATAAAAACGGCGGTGTTCAGTGTTGCCGTAGCAAAAAACGCTGTTAAAAAAAGCCCCCAAAAAGGTGTACAATTGGAAGGTTTAGAACTTAGACACATCTGAAGAACTATGGACACCATTGTTCATACAGTTGTTTTTAAACCGTGTTAAAAAGCAGAACGTGTTTCTGCGCGGCATACGAGAAGTTGTCTTGCAACGGTTCCTCTATTTCATTATTCCAAATGAAAACATCTGTTTAAAAAAAAAAAAAAATTAAAAGGTTGTTTTAACCAACATGTATAATTCACAATAAACCTATTTGATTCGGATTGACTGGATTTGTTTCTGAAGAGAACTGCTGCTTCCTAAATATCAAAGCTGTTTATGCTGTGAGTGTGTGTGTATACACGCTAACACCAATATGTCTAATTAACTAATCCATCAAGATCTGCTGGTTATTGATATTTACTCAAACTGTGAAGGGAGAAAACGTTTTCACCCCAATCATTGGGCAGCCAGAGAGATAAAGAAAAGAGCCGCGTCAATTCAGATGTTTTTTTTTTTAAATAAATATTACTCCTGGCATCAAGGCGCAGTAATGAGTTTGGGTGTTTACTTTTCATTATGACATCCTACAGAGCAACAATGCTCCCACAATGACATCTGGTTTTTAAACACACACACACACACCGCTTACACCTCCATCACACGTGTTTTCCTTTTTTTGGGCTGTTTGTTTACGGACTTCATGCGTGCTGCATGAACCCTGATTGTAGATTCCCACAGTCCCGCGCCTCCCCTGTGACATCATCACATTGTGGGTGCTTTCAGAGGTCGGTGAGACATGAGGCCCCAGAACTCCCCAGCTCCTCTTCTCCTCTCGCTCGGAAGGCAGGAAATACAAAACAGATTTCAACCCCCCCCCAAACTCCGGAGTGTACATTGAGGAACCATTTCCCTCTTCGCTGTATCCTCCAATGAAGTCGTCTTTACCCGAATACTGAGAATGTTAAATGTATTTGACTAAATGCCACATCTTCATCGTCTAGTCACACTATTGTGTTCTGTGTGTAAGTTTACATTTGAACTACAGTGACCGCTTTGTGTCCAGGCTGATTGGCTGCTTCTTTCTGTAGTGCTGCTGCAGGTTAGTTATTGCTTACACACACATTTTTTTTTTATACTGGCTTCAGTTGTGTCTGAATGACAAAGAAAAACGGTGGTTCTGCCCTTTGATTAAGTTCTCTTCCGTGCGTCTGTACGTCACCGCGCTGTCCACCGTGATTCATGACGTCGTCACCAGTGGAGGCTCATAAATGACCACGTACACGGGGACGGCCGTCCGGGAAATGAGCTCATTGTCACTGCTGAGCCCCCCGCCTCCTCTGTCACTTTCTCTCGCGCACACACACACGCCTCGCCCTCCCCCAATTGCCCCGCAGCTGTCAGTTAAAAGCTTGTGTGTGTTTTAATTAGGGCGTCCACTAGTTATGGCTGAATGGCCGCTTCATTTAGAGGCGCGCTAGGAGACGCATGCTCAGATCTGTCCAGCTTGTAACGCGCAGTGAGGGGGGTGGGTGGGTGTGTGAGGGAGAAAGAACTGGGTGTGGGGGATGCTTAAGGGGTATTGATGACGCAATATCCCCTGAGGGGTGGACCTCCCATCTGTGAGTGGAATAGACCGGATCTTGCCACAGAGAGCAGCTAGAGGAGCGATGTGGGACAAGAGCGCGTATGGGGTTTGAGGTTTTAAGAAAATGTTAAGACATTTCTTTCTTTAGAAATGGACTGTGACTCAAAGCTAGCGGAGCTCATTGTTTTGTTATGTATGTCAGAATATGGGGTATTTATGCCTCTTTGGGGAGTTTCCGCTAGCGTGTCCGTGCTCCAAAACCGCAACTAGTGAAAGTCTAGTTTAGTTTGCAACATGTGCTCACTGAGCTTCCAGGCAGAAATGTCTTCCTCTTTTAAATAATGAAGTCCTTTTCTTAATGCTAGTGTCCATGAACAGCATACATATATCGATTTGGATAGTGAAATGCTGACGCGTCGTTCTTCATAAGACTGTGCACCACAGTGGAGAACAAACCCCGATGACGGAGTGGATGTCGTCGGCCGCGTGTTCACGACCAATGACGGCGAACGTCCCGCCCCGTGCAGAGCTCTGGATGGTCTGTGCCCGTATCCTGCAGGAGGACGGGGGATGGCGGGGGGGAGGAAGAGTCAGATGGTGAAGCAGGCCACCAGCTGCTCTCCTCGCCTTATTTTCTCTCAAAGGGGTCTGCGGCAAAAAAAGATGGCTGCTGTTGAGTCACAAGACCTGGGTTCTCTAAACCCCCCCCCCACACACACACACCCGTCCTGTGCTCTTCACAGTTGGGTCAGATGAAGGAGAGGTCTTTTCAAGCGTGCATGTCGAGCTCGTTAGCCTGTAGATGTTCTTCTGTGTTTTGCAGCTTGTCTTGTAAACCAAGTGGCACAGAGGGAGTCGTATGCTCCGAAACCCCCCCCCGCCCCCCGCCCCCCACCGAGGGGAAACAAAACCACCAATGTACGGCCCTGAAGACAACACAGAGCTGAGGGGGTCTGCGTAGTCGGGTGGTGGTAATTCACTTCACTGGACTTGCCGCTACAAGCAACACCTTTCACATGACACATAGAGATTTGGTCCATTATTTGCACTATTACTTCTTATTTGGGCTGATGCCCATTAGAAGGCTTAAGACTCTCTGTGTTAGCTGGCAGCAGCTTCTTCCTGTCCCTGAATGCTGTGTCAGGGCGGATGGCCGGTCTCCATGGCGACTTGGAGAAGATGACAGTTGAGGGGGAAATTGAGAAATCGGTCGGTGGCATGAATGTGTGTTTGTGCGTGGTCACTCTTATTTCTCAACTATAAGTCATTTGATCAGCTGTGATTCAATTCAATTCATTTTATTTTGTATAGCCCATAATCACAAATTTGCCTCAGAGGGCTTTACAGTCTGTACACATACAACCTCCTCTGTCCCACCCATCGACACAGGAAAAACTCCCCAAGTTGATGCAACCTGCCACTGTGGGTTCCACACCCTCTCACTCTCTCACACACACACACACACCACTGCAAACATGTTTGCCAACCACATATGTCCTACTTCCTTTTTTAAATTTGTAAATTTTGGCAGCTTTTTTTTTTTTTGTGTGTTACTGTGAGTGGTATATTATTCAAAATGTTTTGGTGGATTTTGATATTTCCTTAAACTGCAAGATTATAAACATCATTTCACAGCATATGAGCTCAGTCATGAGGATAAGGGGGAGTGCGTAAAGTCTTCAACGCCATCTCCGTCTCTCTTTGTTTCTTGTACTACTAGATGCATCTTTGATTGACAAGTTAGGTGTCCATCGACGCATCTGACCCACTTTCTTTTCGTTCTTCCCCAATGTTTTCACCAACTTTCGTCTCATTTCATCCTGGAATGCTTGGACGTTTAGATGTTACATGTGTGGGTGTGTCTGCTGCTGGTATGTTTCCACAACCAATAAACAAACCGTTTTAATGGGATTCCTTGAAGTTTTGCCCCGAAAGCTGTGTAACCATATCCACACGTGCTAAGAGGTTTGCTTCCACAGAATACAATGTGCAACATTCCAGATATTGATGCATAAAATCTGGTATTTGTTGAAGTGGCTGGTCGCCACATCACTGTTGTACCTCTCTGAAGCCCACGACACGTGTAAAAGGACAGATTGTGATGCATTGAATGCCGTCCTCTATCCGACCCACATTGGAGCATTTTAACTTGTGTATTCGTCTTAAGGTGTTGGACCGTTTTTATCTGTAGTAGTGTAAGATGTTCTTTTATATACTCTCTTCAACCTATAGAGCCCCCCCCCCCCCCGTGAAGAAGCCAAATTGAAGGGGCTGCGGGGCTCCAATTTGAGGTTGCAGGCTCCCTCTGAGCTCCCTTTGAACTCCCTGTGTCACTTCCTCTCTCCCTCGGGGCGCAGAGGAAGCAGGAGCAGATGTGTTACGCTGACGGACACTTTGACAACACTGCCAGTCTGTAAATTCCTCCACCGGCTTAAACATGCACCACCTTTGCTGCGCACCGTGCCTGTGCTCACACGCAGCCCTCCTCCACAGCCTGAACCCGACCTGGTCCACCACTGCCCCCTCACGCACAACCGCTGTCACCGCGCAACGACATGCCCTGCTCACAGCATCGTAGCCTGTGATGTAGCATGTGGAGGGAACGCACAAGAACACCTAACTGAACTGGTAGTGGCGTCTTTTTAAGATCAGATTCATGAATATTTTATTTTGCGAACCTGGCCCTTAACTCGTGTCACTTTAAGCTCATTATTCCATGTATGTACTGCGCACCTTTTAAGATACGTGTCGCCCACGTGGGTTAGTAAACAGATTTTGTTTTTTTGAAAGGTGAATAATCTGCGATTTAAAAGGGATTACCCACCACTGTGACCGTAGATGACGACCAACTGGAAAAGACATTATTTGCATACGTCAACATATTCAGCTCCATCCAGCGCACCAGCATGTGGTGTTTTTGCCCCTTTGTTCAGTGGTGTGCCGCCACACACCACGTTTATCTTCTTTGTTATGTAACTGACATGGTTTAGTTTCTGGAATGCATGAGTGTCGCCCTCCTGTGGTGTCTTTAAATCATTGCAGAGACCCTCTGCACGTATGTTTTGCTTCTGAGGACACACTCCAACCCCCCACCTTTTTTTGTATTTAGCACGTGCGGTAAAATGCGACTCTGATGCCTGAGACCCACTCACAGGCATGTGAGGACGTGTTTATAAATATGAGTCATTCCTCAGACGGGGGGGGGGGGGGGGGGGGGGGGGGGGGGGGGAATTTTTGGGGTGACGTCCTTTCCTAATATGAGACTATATTTACACGGTAAACATGTCACATAAGTTCCAGGGGCGAGCAAGAATTTTCATAAGTCGCTTATAAACTCTTGGTCTCAAGATGTACATTCAGAGTGCGTAGGAGGGAGTAGGTGAGGGACGGAGGAGGGGGAGAGAGAGGGACAGTGTGTGCGTAGCTATAAAACAGACTCTGGTCTCCAAGCAGCTCAGTAGCAGACAGCTGTGCAGGACAGGACAGCGCGTTTCGATCGCTTTTTCTGGAAAATACATTCAAGATCAAACTATCAGAGATGACGACCGTGTTCAGATACGCCGTCTTTCCTCACCTGCAGGGTGAGTTCAGCCAAGAATGCATTTTGTGCGTTTCTTGTCTTAAATGTTTTGACTAATCTTTTGTCCAATATTCTCTTTTCAGTTGGTTGGATCACTTTTTTTTCTTCTTTTTTTTTTTAAATAGAGAATGTGTGCAGACATGCATGTTGTTATTATTTTAAAACTATAAAGGTTTCCTAGCAGTAAGGTAAGGTAAGGTATATGTACCTGTGATTAACATGAGAATGGGTCAAACTTGCTCAGTTATTTCTCAGCTTAATGAGGACCTGAGAAAGTATCTCGACACATGAGCTGGTCGAATGTCTAATAATTAAAGGAAATACCAAACAAATAAAATGACATGTAATAGGTTTCTAATGTATTAAGGCAGTTTGCCCACATTTTAGGGGGCCAATTATGAATCGCATCGATTTTTTGAGGTCATGGTCTAATCAGTGGATTGAAACTTCTGACGTGTATCGAAATATTGACATAACAATATGCCTACAAGATATTGACAGTAATGTTCTCACTCATTTCGCTCATTGTGAAAGGGAATAAAATGTTCCTCTTCACTCTGTGGGAACAATTATGTAATTCCAGCGCTGTCCTTCTAGCACTATAGAGACAATTAAAACGCCTCTGAGCTGGTACCAGAGGATCAGTCGGATGCTCACATCACAGGTTGAAAGAAGAGATAATAGATTAAAAATGCAAATTACAGACTTTAAGAGTTCTCTCCTCGCTGCTTTCAAGCCTTTCGCGTTATAGTGACGAATTGGTCAACTGAAATTGAGCTTCTCTTGTCTTTGTCCGTGCAGATCCGCGTGAGCCTGGTCTGTCGCTGTCACCAGGGAGGAGCGTCATGGCGGAGCCCGACTACCTGGACGGAGACTGCGATGAGCTCATCAAACCTAAAAAGCTGATCAACCCTGTCAAGATCTCCCGTAATCACCAGGACCTGCACCGAGAGCTGCTCATGAACCAGAAGAGGTCAGGAGAAAAGAGAACAATACAACGTTAATACCTTTTCTGACACTCATTGGGATTCCTCGTTTACTTTTATGAGAGGATGGAAGATTCATATTTCACAACTAGTAACCAGAAGCTTACAAGATATGGTTGGAAATGATGGTTTATTCATATATTAAGTGGCACAAAATAATTTTCATGTCCAACAGTTTTTACATAATCTACATGATGTTTGCGGGTCGGACGGAGGGAAACGGTACGGTGTCCAGATCCAAGCTGGTTTATGTACTAATGGCAGATGAGTTAATACAGCAGCCCTCCTGCTTTCTTGTAATTGGTCTGATTGTTTCCATGCAGACTCTGCTGATACTTGTTGACCACACTGGTCCCTTCGACCTCCGGCAGCAGTATTACGTAATGTTCAGGAAATACAAATTTCACAGTGATGTATTATACAAAACGATATGTGCATTAGTGTTTTGATAGATTGGCCATGTAAAGGTCACACACACGTATACTCCACAGATGGAGGAACCTAATCTGGCTGCTGATACTAATACTGCGTCATACAATACAGGACATTATGCGGTTTGTGTGAGCGTCCATGCATCAGCTTGAGAAAACCCTTTTGACACCAAATGTTTGTATTTTCTCTCACCAAACAGCGGCGGGCCGCTTTGTGCCTGAGCTATAAATAGCTACGTCAACACGCATGGTGTTGGCAGCTGTTACATCACAGCAGCACTGATGCTCGGCCCTAAAGGGATCAGAGAGCGAGGCGCTTTCGCAGTGATCGAGGGAGGGCATTAATGACTAATGCAAAGAGGCAGAATAAGGAGGTCAAACAGGAAAAGTCTTCTTTTATGAGGAAAATTTCTAAATGCTGCAGAATAATGTCTGTAGTCGTCTAGACGGAGAATGTCCGCCAGTATCAGTAGAAGTCTGAGATAAACATAGTGGGCTTTTGGCGGGAGGTACTAGGTTTTTTTTTATTAGCATTCGATCGTGTACTGAAAGGATGGAAAGCCAGTCTGCATGCATGGTGGATTAGTCACGCTGGGGGGGGGGGGGTGTGGATGGAAAAAAGGGTTATGTAATCAAGATTACAAAACATTCCTAGCTGAGGGCCTTTCACTGCCTTTGCTTCATTAGCTGTGATGACTCTCTCTTTACACACACACACACACACACACACCGAGGAACATCAGGACTTCAGCCACCAATAAACTGGGGAGGCATATGAGATATTGTGTGAGATTTTGATCACACATTCTTGCCAGTCTGCTAGAGGTGTGTCTTCGTGGGACGGAAGTCATAGATGGGAGGGTCAGTGATTTATGGAAATGACGCCGAGCGTGAAAGGAGAGCAGAGTAAGCGTATTTTATAGCCTGTCGTAGTATCTTGGTCGACCTTTAGCCTGCTCCTTTCCTTTTCTGCTCTCAAAAACAGCCCGACTCCGTCCGGTCTTTTTGGAGGTGCCTGGTTGTAAACGCCCCCTCCTGCTTGGTGATGTAATCTTCAGGATTTAATACTCCATTTAATTAAGACATCGTTGTTATTCAAATGGGGCAGGCCGGCGATGTTATGTTTTCTTTAAAGAAAAGAGTCCAGCTTTCACGGAGAAGGGGAAATGTTTAACTACTCAGAGAAAAAATGATCTGGATAATAGTAGTTTCAATTAAATTCATCATCAAGTAATCAAGGGCTGCAGCATGTTTTTGACAGACAGAAAGTGTCTTTCCTTTTACTGCTCTTCAATGATTTTCTTTTTCTTTCTTGTGTGTGGCACATTTTTGTGCCTACATAATCCTTTTTGGGCTTTGCCGTTTATTGGCTTTGGCTTTTCCAGCGGAGTCCAGCTCATCTCAGCTCAATACGTCTCCTGTAGCCCTTCTCCCAAGCCTCATCCTCAGCCCCCGCCCTTCTCTCCGTTATCCTTTTTTTGGCATTACGTAACATTTAATATGTTTTGCTCTTCTCAAGGCTTGCTCACACTTTATTAAGATGTCCCTTTTTGAATGTTGCTGCACAAACCCAGGCAGTTGTGCAACAGTCTATTTTTGTCACTGACTTGATCACCCAGAGACGACGTCCAAATGAGAAGTTTTTTATTAGATATTTTAGATATGGGATTGTTTTGTTACTCGAAAAAAAAAAAAAGGCTCTTTTCCTAAATCAGTCCAATGCTGCGTACCAATACGTAGTCAGACATGTGGAACAAGCTGAGATTGGGCTTCCAAATCAAGACTGACTGTTTAATTCGGAAAAACAAATAAGGATCCGCGCGTCAAACTAGAATGAGGTCGTGGTCGTCACGTTCTATGCATGAATGTGAACGCTAATCTCCCTCTGAGTGCGGCGCGATGCCATCGCCAGAGGTTTACTTCAGTAACACGGTCTCTCCCGTTGATTCTGCACAGGGGTCTGGCTCCTCAGAACAAACCCGAGCTGCAGAAGGTTATGGAGAAGAGAAAGAGGGAGCAAGTTCTCAAGGCTCAGAAGGAGGAGCAGGAGGCTCACAAGAAGAGGAGTGACTTGGAGATAGAGCTCATGAAAAGACAACAGAAACTAGAGCAGGTAAATCATTTGAAAGTCTCTATATCTATAGATATATATGAGATACGTCACTTGTATGAAAGTTACTGCTCGGACCTTTTGCAAGCTGAAACAAGATGCAGATTATCGCTTCTACAATGTCTCAATCTGAATTTGCCAATGTCTGTGTTCTTGCAGCTGGAGCTGGAGCAACATAAAGATGAGGAGGAACAGGAGAACACCCCTGAGTTTGTGAAGATGAAGAGCAACCTGCGCAGAACCAAGCAGGAAGCTGACGGGGAGGAACGGACCACCTAAAAACCAGTCGGGGTGTCTGGGTCTGGCTGATTGTGCGCGTGTTTGTTAACACAAAGACTTGTGCGTGTTTGTGTGTGTGTCTGTGTGTGTGTGTGTGTGTGTGTGTGTGTGTGTGTGTGTTGTCTGTGGTGCACGGCGGTGCCCTGGAGGCGGGTCTCTGACGCACTTCCTGGTTTTCCCCCGACCTAGTTGTTCCTCCCCCGCAGTGAGGAGAGACTTTACAGACTAAAGACCCCCTCCGCCCGCCCGCCTGCCGTGGAGCGCCAGTACTCACCTCTGCTCCCCGCAACAGTCCAGCAGCACACAGCACCCCCTGCAGGAGGGATGCTGACAGACATGTTTCGTGCTGAACGCCTTCCAACGAGGGCGAAACAAGCTTCCAATGAGCTCTGATGGAGAAAAAAAACAAAAGAACCGACCACACACACACACACACACACACACACACACAGAGGAGTTCTCAACCCGTCTGTTTTCACTCCTCTCACCACAGAAAGCTGCCGTTTCTCTTCACTGTTGTCAATGTTGTTATCTGTGTTGTTGTTATTTCTGTTCTCATCTTCAGAATGAAAAGAGGAAAAGTGGACACTGGATAGACTCTTGAAGCTGTGTAATGTAAAAGCCAAACAAATGTGCTTTTGTTATTTATGTTTGTAGCTTTTAGCCCCGGTAGGGGAGGACACTTAGTCGTTCTGCATTTTAGTTTGTTTACAGCATAGTTTATTCAGCCAGAACAGGACAAAGGGAGTCGATGGTTTTGTGAAACACCCACATTTGCTATATATATATATATATATATATATATATATATATATAATTTTCTTTCATTTTTCTTTTTTAATTTGTAACATGCCATTCCTCACCAAATGCAATGTTGAGCAATAGTAGAACTCCGGGCAATGAGAGTGACCCTTTGTCTCAATATTCTGTTGTTTTTGTATGGATACAAGTGTTACTTAATATGTAATTTAAGTTCTTGTTCGGGCGGTCTATAAGAGTAATGAGCCCTGTCTGACCAGTCTTCGTGTGCTTTCATGAGCAAAGGACTTGTTGGGAAGCATACACACGGAGGCCACCTGTCACAAAAAGGTATAATCAATCAGCAGTTTGTGGGATCTGTGTGGGTCCCGAAACCGCTCCAAGTCCTGGACCCTAATCACTGCAGTATTTTGTCTTTATAAACAATGGAGCCATAGATGTGCAGGCAGATCATTTAACTAAATGAATCTGACCAAAAGTGGCTGTTAACTGAAAAACAATGTGTGGGTCTCCAAAGGATTATAGTTTTTATTCTGATGGGAAGAAGCAGATTTATGACCCGGTGTTCTTCCCAAGAATCTTCTTTTGAATAAACATAATTTTAACAGATTCACTTTATTTTTCTTTATTTTGTCTGAGGGTTTGTTATCAGCCCTAAAAGAAGCCTTTATTTTTGAATTGATAAGCGATCCAAAGATACCAGCCAAGCGGAATGCCAATCAGACGGCTTATTGCTTTGATATTTTTTACTGTAGATGGTGTTGGCTTTGCTCACAGATTGCAACAGTCAAATGTCGAGATTAATAGTATTTGGAACGGAGTTGGTCGTATTGCAATGTAGGGCACACATTGTGTTCTGTGGCAACTTCAGTGCACATAACAAGTGGTGGAGTGACAAAACCTAAAGTCAATGGTCAGATAATATAATTTTTGTTAAATGAGAGGAATTTAGTGAGCTTAATACGCAATGTCGATACATAAAAGGAGTCTGCTTGATCTTACATCTTATATGAAATTACATTACTCCAATTGTGAGAAATAAACTAAGACGTAACTTTAGGTTGTTAAGTTAAGTCTTATGTTAAATAAACATATTTATCCTGTTGGATTGCTTGCTAAAGCTGGAATGTTGCAAAAAAAAAGGGAGAATACTCCTTTATTGAACTAAAACATTGAATTTGATAGTACTGTTTAATCCAAATAGTAGCCGTAGCATTCTTTGATGGGATAAATATGTATAATATCTTATGGATGGAGAGGCTTCTGATTCTGAACTGGAGGAAGGGTTTTTCATTTAAAGCCTTTCAATAAGAACGATTCAAGTAAACGTGATATCTGAAATATCCAATCCTTGTAAGTGAGAAAATGGGACCCTTAAGGCGAGTGACATAAGTCCTATACTATTCTTCAGATTTAAGATGTTTCTTAAAATGTAGTGCTGGAAAGATCATGATTTGCAGATGATGGGGCGTTGTTGGAAAAATGGAGAAATTTGGTAATGAATAAATAAAGAGTAAAGAAATAAATTAAGGTGAAATGCAAGGCGGGGACTTTAAGTTTAGACAATTAGTGAAAGTAATTTGATACTGTTTGCAAATGATATCCTTGAATCCCATATATGAAGCTATTGAACCATTTTAAAACATTCTTAAATTTTATGAAGTGCGTAACAAAACAAAGTTATTGTAGCGTTTGCCTTAAATCAGGTACATCCAAATATGGCCTTCTTTTGGCCTTTTTTTGAAGAAAAAAAATAGCAAAACATGATTAACACAGAATCCAAAGATATGTCAAACCTCCAACCTGTCTTTTTCGACATTGTTGTGTCATGTACCGTTATTTTTAAGCAAACTCGGGTGTGTTGGTAATGGACAAGGGACGAGACGATTTGTTCAGCTTCTTTAAAAGAGTAGTTATGACGATGAGGTAATAAAATGATATCCGGACACTATGCGTGTTAACTTACTCCACAAAGTGCCTGCAAAGCATCACCTGATTAACCTCAAAGAAGAAGAAGAAGACGAAGAAGATCCCCGGAGTGCAAATCCGCGAAGAAGAATTCGGTGCCCTCATCAATACGCGACAAAGATGGCCGCCTGTGGGCTGTTCCGCTCCCTGTCTTCCAACTTTTTCACAGTTTTGCCTGTACTTACCCGCTCGGCAACACTTTCCCCGTTGCGGCTGGCATCGCAACCTTACTTCGAAAGGACACTAGCCACTTCTTGTCGATTAACAGCAGGTATTACCCCGCGTGTGGGTTTTATTGTAGCATGTTAGCTAACGCTTGCGGTTGCTAGAGGGTAACATTAGCTTAAGAAAGGACACGTACGCTGACGACCCGGCTCTACGCCTGTCTCTGTTTATTCTGGTTGTCATACATTACAAAAATACTCGTGCAGTGAGGGGGATCGTTGTGGTCTGAGTCTGTTTTTGTTGTTGTTTTGCAGCACTTAAATTCACAGACAAACACGAATGGATCCGAGTAGAAGATGACGGAATTGGGACTGTCGGGATCAGCAAGTTTGCTCAAGTAAGTTTCCTACTGCGTGATCGCGCGCAGAAACGCTCACACGCGTAGGTTATCTGCACTAGCGAACAAAGTACATACTTTTGCTCCAGTCTTTGACCTTGCTTTCTGAAACTTGCAGGAGGCTCTGGGAGATGTGGTTTACTGTGGACTGCCAGAAGTGGGAACGCAGCTGGTCCAGCAAGGTATGAGGGTGGTGTGGCTCACATGTAAAAAACAAACAAACTATGGAGGAATACAACCTTGGCATGGAAGAGGACATTTAGGCTGGAAACTGTATAATTGCTGAAGTATAACTGAATTTGTAATTCCAATTTTTGGGATACAATTCAATGATTCAATATTCTTTTCGAAAGGCATCTTGACTTTGCATCTGGACATTGTTTTGGACAAAACAATTATTCCTCTACGTTTTTGATTAACATGCTAATGATTATCTTGTTTTGCATGTGACAACGGTTTTTACTTTAGAAATGACAGTAAGATCGCTACCCTTCTTTTGAAATGCTTTTTCTTCTGCCATTATGAAAGATGGACTTGTACGTTTGTTTTGAGTTATTTTGCCTTGTGGTTTAGAGGAATATGTCTGAAAAACGCATGAACATTTTTTGGTGTCCAGATATTTCGAAAGCAAATATATTATGAAGATATTCAAATTATATAATTTCTGCATCGTAACGCAGCGCTGCCAAATTTCTTCTCTGATGCTGTGTTGAGAAACAACTTTGCTTTGCTACTTTCCATCCATCATTTAAAAAAAGTATTTTAGTAATACACTGAATATCATCTGTTATACTGGTGAATAGTCACCGTGCCACAGAGCACCTATCCTAGTTAATGTTACACTTTCTTGTTTCGTGTTCTTCTGGGTTTGTATCCTTCTGGTTGAAATGCACTTTTTTAGCTGCCGCTTTGGATAAAAGTGGCAGCTAAATGACATGTAATGTAACGTCAACAATATTTGCCTTTTCTGTCTTGGCAGTTGCTATTCTGAAATGACCTAACGTATATAAATGCACTTGTTTCTAACATCTACTGTCACAGATGAGTTTGGAGCTCTGGAAAGTGTGAAGGCTGCCAGTGAGCTTTATTCCCCTTTGACTGGAGAAGTTGTAGAGGTTAATACACTACTGGCCGACAATCCTGGTCTGGTGAACAAATCTTGCTACGACGATGGTAAGCACACACATAGGCTAAAATACTGAACAGGATAGAATTTAAAATATGATATGTCTGTTGGTTCCTTGGGTCATTGGTGGGTTGTTTTTTTTAACCGACTAGTCTTTAACGTCCAAAAATGATTACTGCAGATTGTTGTTGTTGTTAATGCATTTGTTAGAACACATTAGATAATTGAAGTGGCATTGATTTGAAAAATATAAAAAAAAGAATACATAAGTACTGACTACTTAATGGTACTGTGTGAAAGCAGTGGGCTGTGAAGATTGAAGAAACTGCTCTTACTTTCTTTGGACAGTAGATGGCAGTGATGCAACATTACATAGAGATGAGGAGTGAGATGAGGAGATGATTCCGATCTCGTGCCTTGTCAATCCGTTTTGTTGGTAGAGTTAACTTTTTTTATAGTATATTGTGTCTTAAAGTGTGAACCATCTTTCTTCCTGACTGGCAACTTTGCACGTTTTTAGCGTATTCTCTACATTTGGAAGTACTTTAATTACTACTCCAGTTAAAGACTTAAAAGTTGGCTGATATAGTTACCCATCACCCAGAACGTTCCAAATGTTTTGCTATTGTCAGAATTCCATCATCACTACATGACTCTGCAGTATTTACCCATAACTGCTTTTCTGTGCTTTGGAAATGGGACATGTAAAGCCAAACCTTGTTCATTGTCATGCTTAATTCTCCATACTGTAATGAGCAAAGGGGTGTAACACATATTTGACTCGTGCTAAATGGTATGCAAAACTGTTCCTGAAATCACAGGTTAACTGATTTTGACTCATTCAATGTAGGTTGGCTGATGAAGATGACCATTGGCAACCCTACAGAGCTCGATACTCTAATGGATGAAGCAGCCTATGAGCGATATATCCGCTCGATCGAGGACTAATCTAACCCGTCCTCTTAAGTGCTACGCGCTCCTCCTTTTCAAACGATACTGGCAGGAAGATCGAGTTGTGCCTGTGTCAGCTCCGATGAAATGCTTAGCGCCCACCAGTGGATCTCCACAAAGCTGACCAGTGTTGTAAAGCTGTGAACATTAGAAATCCTTTATCTACTGCTAAGACTGACTTTAAAAAGCACTTTGGTCTTCAATTATCAAAAATAATGTTTGTCTACTGCATGTATGACAGAAATTGTGGCTGCGGTACCTTTTTTTTTATTAGAAAATAAACAATTCCTGAGACTTTCTTTTTCTTTTTTTTTATTAAATCCCAAAGTTCAGGCTTCATATTATAAAAGGTCAGTTTTTATAAAATGATTTTATTTAGAGTCCCCCATGTGACAGCACAAGATGTTTAACATTACAGCTATTAAATAGTTCTTGACACTGTCAGACAAATGTATACTATAAATATTTACACATTTAATATTTTTCATCACTTATTTTTAGTAAACCCATGTTATATCCACACGCATTGTTGCAACCAAACGTATTCACCCAATGTACAACAATATAAAAAAGAACCAACTGTAAAACATACGGTGGAAGCCTTTTTTTGTAACATGCCTCGGATTTGTCCGAATTTGCTGAACACTAAATGTACGTCTCTTGCGAACTTTGTCTCAACAAATTTCCCTCACATTTTAATTTAAGGCTTTCCTTAAGATTTTTGTGCATTTTACGGCTTGTAACTGGTCACTTCACTTTCCGTCGTGGTCTCTGGATCACCTGACTGACGAGACCGCCCCACTGGGGGCCACAGAAAACTTGTCCTTGGCGGTTGGAGTTCTTCTGGCTCTGCCCCGAGGCGCGGGAGGCTGAGGGAGTCCCTCCATTCTGCGATAATTGCTCTCCAGCCTCTCCCTTCTCTGAACGCCCTCGTGCATCACGCTGGCAGTAAAGTCTCTCTCGTTAAGGAAGGCGACCGTCTCGTCCCGCTTGCGACTCACGTACCCTTTCAGAACAGCATTGTAAGGATTTGAGGCGGCGTCTGCGTCTGGATCTTCCTGTTGGTGTTTGAATTCCATGCGCGTGATAACGGGCAACAGGAACTGCTTCCCTTCCGCTACCAGACCCGCGTCCCGGTGCGCTGAGCCCAGAGCCTGAGAGACGAGGCGCGGCGGCAGAGGCACCAAGTCGCAGCCAGAGTGCTTGTCCACGTACTGCCCGAACTCTCTTCGCACCAGAGCCACATCTTGCAGGGAACGACTCCTCCGCTCCTCCAGGTCTGTGACTATCCGCTCGGCGTATGTCTGGCCAAAGACCACACCTGACCAGTGACGGTAGCAGAAAAAGCAGAATTGGGGGTTATGGTGAGGATATTCTGGCAAGTGGTTGCCAGAAATTTGCTTTGTCATGACTATCGCCTCACCTGCACGTCGAAGCATGGATGGCGGACACTTCCAGGGTTTGTGAATGAGATCGTCGGGCAGATCAGCAAGTTCAGGACACCATTTCCTCACGTAGCTTCCGTAGGGGTCGCAGGTCATCGCTGCATCAACGGGGTGCATGACAAAGTTCCAATGGTCCAGACCGCACATGCCCCCGTTCTGCCACATCATAGCGTCTATGGCAACATCAGCATCCACTAGGGTGTCCTAAACACCGGCAAACGTTGGACACAAGGTCAGTAATTACTACGTGTTGTCGCTTTGGGGACACCTGCGCGGGTGCACTTCCGTCCATGCGCGTCTCACCTGGAACCAGCGGTAACCCTCTTGCCAGGGCAGGTAGAGATATGCAATAAGAAAAGATGCCACCACGTGTCTCATGTAGTTGTTCATCCAGCCCGTCAGCCACAGCTGCCTCATGGCGGCGTCCACCAGAGGGTAGCCTGTCCGTCCTCGCTGCCAGGCCTTCAGGTGGCCACCATCACTGCTCCACCGCAGAGCCTGCAGACACCAGTGCAAGGATAACGCCTTGTAATAAATACAAACTATATAAGGCCGTGAGTAAAGTGTACTTCAGCTTAACATGTTTATTCGTTTTGTAGGAAGTGGTAGCTGTCATTGCGTCATCAACGCGCCTGTGGCCAGTTTCTACCTTGTATGGAGGTCTGAGGGATTCCCAGGGGAGGTCGGGAAACATGGTCAGCTGCCAGTAAGCCAAATCCCTCCACGCCAGTTTGCGTTGGAACTTTGGGGGTCGACAGCGCGCCCCTTTGGCATCCCACAATAGCCAGCGTGGGCTGAGCTGACCAAAGTGAAGGTAGGGGGACAGACAGCTGGTATTTGGGGCATCTGCCCTGCCGGACTCTTTTTCGTAACGATAAACACCTTGGACGCATGGCGGAATCGTAAGGTCAACGTCACGCTCGGCATTCCTTCAAGTACAGACATGTTTTACGTGAACACAAGGTCTCTCACCATCATTCAGAAAGGCCTCTAGCCGGTCCGACGCGCCTTCCTCACTGAAATCCCAAGATTTACGGATGTTAGCTGCCCAGTCAATCTGAAGGCCAAAATGAACAGAGAAATTATTGAAAACCTAATCTTAATCTGATCGTCATTTCAAAGATTTTATTCCAAGCAGGGGGGGCGGGGGATGAGGGATGACACGCAGTCGTGCCCCCTCACACAACATCACAGCTAACCCCTCAAGGCTCATCTGCTGTGGCTACTGACCGTTGTGCCATCTTTCCTGCGGGGCATGCGCGCCAGGCCTAGCGTGTTCAAAGGGACACCCACAGGCCAGCGGGCGGGTGTGGGGAGAGATACAGGAGAGTCCAGGGGGGCCCCTAACGCAGACCCTGGGTTCTGTCTACAGCAGGTCATGAAGTGAGAGACTGAACCTATTCCTATACCGAGAGAAAAACAAAAAAAGAGATTACCTTATTTTTAATCCGCTTGTAGATTGAGTTGTTTTTGATATTTACCAGAAATATTTAAAGCAAGCACGATTTAAATTTAGTTGTGACTTACCTCTGAGTCCGACCCCCTCCGTGCTCACGGAGTAAGGGTCTCTGAGACAGTACGAGTGGAACGTCTTGCAAACCACACCATCTTTCTGAAGGGCGGACACCACCGCGTCGTCCCTCTCCTTCAACCAAGGCTCATACAGGGCATTGGCCAAGACAGTTCTCGCCCCAGTCTCCTTCACTAGCTCCTTAAGGGTATGCAAAGAAGATGTATTTGCCTCCAAAAACACAAGATGGCTGCCAATGCGCTCCAGAGATGCAGAGAAACAAGACAACGCTTGATGAAGCCAGTATTTACCTGTTGACAAAGAAACAGGAGACTTGAATAGGAATTCACATGTATCAGCTGTAGTTCTATGCACGGTGTTGTATGTTGTGCACTGACACACTGTGCTTTGACAAAGATTGCCAACAATCAGTATTTTCTCTGAACTTACACGCTCCCCCCACAGCCACCGTGATCCCAGGTCCCTCCTCCTCCTCGGGGCTCCAGATGAAGACGGGGATGACAGGTGCACCGACCTCCAACGAGCCAGTGAGAGAAGGGTTGTCCCCGAGTCGCAGGTCCCTCCTGAACCACAGCAGAACCGGCGGCGGCGCCGACGGAGAACGGGGCAAACCTACGACTTGCCGGCCGGCGCCTTTACGCCGCTGCCGTCTGTTCTTGGAGCGCTTCGGTTTCTCTGACGGGCTCAAATTTGCGTCGTTCATCATTGCGTCGCTTTCTTTGAACGCGTCTTGTTTGGAAACTGGCCTGGAGACACGCGCGGCCTGACTCGCTCCCGGTGTCTCCGTTTCATATTCGTCATTTTGCTGACGCTCAGGCGTGTTGTTTGTCTGTGGTGAGTTGGCCTTGACCGAGGCCCCCGTTTGTGGTGAGTCACGTTTTTTCCCGCTGGCGATTACACCTGCTCGCGGGACGCGGCTGCTTCCCTGAGATACAGCGGTCGGCTTATTCGGCCCGTCTGCAGGTCGCTGAGGTCGGGACTCTTGGCTGGTGCTGGACAGCCGGTGATCGTCCATTTCCACAAGAGACAGCGACAGTGCAAGTTCCAGCTCATCATCTTGAGTCTATGATTGAATTAGAAACATCCATTTTTATAATTAATGATGAAACTACTGCGTATAGTCATTGAGGGAGGAGGGGGGACGACAAATGCATTTACAATATTTGCAGATTATTGAACAAGCACTACTACTAAAACTACTTTTTGTTAATAAGACAAAACATTTGTATCTTCAGATCTTTTCTTTACAAATAATTATTTCCTAGTTGCCTTCAGGAGCTAGAAACAAAATAACGTATCTATATCTACCAAAGAATTTGATTTGATTTAGCAACTATACCCCCACAGTAGATGCTAAGCTAACACAAGCTAGCTCTGACGTTGCCTAACACATTTTGAGCGCAGGTGACGTCAGTTAGGTTGTAGGAGACGAGCAGTTACAGGAAGGTTTTTAGTGAAGACGTTAGCGGGCTCACTAAGCCTAAGAGTCGGCAACTCATAACAAGTTAGACAAAACGAAGCGAAACGCGACCACGTAGATGATTCTTGTGCGGGACGGAGACCTTGGAGAAGTAGTCCGTGTGGATGGAGGTGAGGGCGGCGTGCAGCGCGCCGTTGGCCGTGGACAGCGGCTGGATGAGGGGCAGGAACCGTGAGCTGGTCTCCCGGTGGCCCAGAACCGACACACACATGGCAAAGAACCCCTCCGGATCCTCTCGACCCGCCAGCACCTCCACCAACATCCTTCTCACGAAGACCTTACTGTCTTCGCCAGCCGAAGGAGGCATCTTCAAACGCGAGGTGACGGTCGAGTGTAGCTATTTAAAAAATGAAAAATGGCTCCGAAAGGTTTAAGCAGATGTGCACCACGCAAATGAGCCCCGTCGTCCCGAGCACACTCTTCGGTGTCGGTTATCAAACATGTTCATGTGGAGTTACACAAGCCACGTGTTAGTGTTTTGTAACCTGCAGGCGGCGGGTTGTTGTAATGGCGTCGCCTCGCCTGTAGGCGTCGCACCAGCCCAACAAATAGGACGGCGAGGAGACGGCGGTGCAACCCAAGGGGGCCTGGCTGGGGTTTCTTTTTCCCCCCACGGCATCGAAGACACATTTGGGATTCCCTGTTTGCATTTTATTTATTTGATATAAGGGTAAAGGGTCAAATATATGATCAATGCTCTTTTCTTTTTTTTTCGTCGGAGGTTTCTCTCTCCGTCTGCACTGATGATCACTGAAATGGTAATGAAGGTCTCCCAGTGTAAACGTGTAATGAAAAGGGCCCACACAAACAGATCTTTTGGTCATTTTCTTTGACGTTAAAATTAAGGGGGGGGGGGGGGGTCGTCTCCCTTAAGACAATCAATCAAACATCTTTGCGTAGCTTTCATCTTGACAGGAATATGGTCCTTTTGAAGTTCACCCTGTTATGTGAGACAAAGCCAGGAGACAGCGTACGCGGCAGTGAATACTATGTCATAGTCTATATTCATGCCGTAGAGGGCTAAGGAATTGATTTTGTTAATGAGACCATGCATACGCGTTTGAATGTACGCAGCAGGGAATAATATTTGACATTTGTGAACCAAACTTGGAGAGGCTTTGAAGACATTATAAGCTCCAGTTACATTACTGTAGTCCCGGAATTAATCAAAGATATATTTTGTTCATTCTCTGAAGTAAAATACAAAATACAATTTGGGGTTCCACGTACAAGCCAAGTCTATTACCAAGTCAATGATTTAAGCCTTGATCTGATGAGAAGTCTGAGTGTACGAAGGGAATATGTGTTGAGAGCTATGGTATGTGGTGAGAGCGAGACAGAAAGAGAGGTAGAGAGAGAAAGAGATTGAGAGAGAGAGGGAATCAATAGTGTTTAGACAGAGAAGTGGAGTCTAAGTGTGTGATCAATAGAGAGCAGAGAGGAGAGATTAGCTGCTTTTCTCTCTCAAACTAACACTGACAAATTGGTGAATTGGTGTATCGGCCCTTGGGCTAAACGGATTGACCTGCTGTTTCCATGTTCTGCCGTGTACTGTCAATAAAGATCTGTGTTCATTGTGGCTCTCAATGACGAGAGTGAATGAACCACCGGGGAAAAAAAGGCGAAAGGAAGGAAGGTAAACCGGGAATTCTGAAGAGCGAAAAGCCAAGTACGGCTTAGATGCCCAAATGGCCTCGATTCTCACAAAATGTCCTCACCTTTGTCTCATTAACACATACGTGCACTCACATGTGCATCGTCGCGAACACTTTTATAAAACCATAATAACGTCTCCCGGAAAATTAATGGAAAGACAGATTAAAAACTAAGTGAGGAGAAACGGGCCACTGGTGTAGCTATTTGCAACTCATAAATCATTCTGACACACCCACGCGCATGTAGACGCACACACACACACGCACACACACACGTACTGTAATTAACCACAGGCTATTTACTCTCTCCTGCTGTAAATTAGACATGCAGACACAGTTATTACATTAGGGGGATCTGCCATGCAGAATACTAACAGGAGGAGGAGGGGACACTGGTACACACAACAAACTGCTGGTACACATATAAACACACATACAGATACACAGAAAAGAGGCTATGGAAGAATCATAGACTGACGGTGGTGAAAATGAAGCTGCAGCACAGAGAATAGGGGCCCCCAGCTCTTTGTTCCCTGCTGCATTTCATTATCTGAAACGCCAGCCAACACACACGCCACACACACACACACACGCACACAACGCACCTCCCCCTTCCCTAAAGCTGTCTGCCTCCCCTCCATGCACACAGCACAAAAAGAGGAAAATAGAGATACTGCGTCAGTGCCATTCACTGGCATCTGAACTCGGTCATGACAACCACGTCTGCATGGTCATTCCGAGCAGACCGGCCCGTCCAGAAGCCGCTCGCGGTTGGACACTTCCATTCAGCACGCGCTGGCAAAAAAAGCACTTCCACTTACGTTCTATTTTAAGCCGAACAATAGGAGATACGGACTTGATTAAAGCAAGTATTGATACCCTGTCTTCGGTAGCTTGTCTCCATTAATTTCATTTGAAGTTTTTTTTTTTTTTCTTCCTGTCCTGGCAGTCCCTCTCCTTCTGTTTGTGTGTGTGTGTGTGTGTCCTCTGGTTCCCCCTACCTCCCTTACCCCTCTCTGTCCCTCGGTTTTCCCACGGTGATCGATAGCTCATTACAATCATTGACTGCGGCTCATCAGCACCTGTTAGGGTCTGGAGAGACAGAGGGACGGCGCATGAGCGCCTGACAGTTTGTTACGTGACGCAAGCCCATTCATGTAACGTTTCAATACTCATTTAACGCATTCCTTGTTGCGGGTTTCTAGTTTGTCGTCGCTTTATGCTCCGTGGTCTTAGAGAACATCTTATTATGCAACTCACGTGGGTACCGTGGTTTGTTGCTATGGTGATTGCCAAGGGAGCCAGAGTATTATAGGTGTTTATCCGAGACAGGAGCGAGGCAACTCACCGTCTATCAGGGCGAAGCTTGAATTTACCACACAGTTTGGACCACACGTTAAGATCCATGCAGCAGAGGGACAAAGACAAAACACAGCATCCAAAACAGTCTCAGTGGATAGATTATTCAGTATTCATATTCCTGGAAGAAAGACCTTGTTCAAACACTCGGTTGTTGGTTTAATGCGCCACTGCAGGGTTTGTTTTTGGAAAAGGGGGACTGTGAGCAGGAAGAAGCAAACATAGAGACTCTTAGAGACTATTATACACTTCAAACCATGGTTAAAGGCAAGGATAAATGTGTTAAAACCAATAATAAAAGAGATAATGGTGAGACCTCAAGAAGTCCCCCCATGGATTCACAGTTGGTAGTCTAAGAAAAGAGGAAAATTGGAGTGTCAAGTTATAAGGAAGGGGGATATACATTACAATGGAGGACTGAAAAGAGAACAAGTCTCTCAGCCTGTGCGTAGATTACACACATCATTTACATATTCATTATGTTTTGTGTACTAATGAGAGTGTTGGGTTAATGAGTTCCACCACCACTGGCGGCTTTTGTTTGGCGCAAGATATTATAAATAGGAGGAAGAAGAGACGAGGGTCATTTTAGAAGAAGCGGGTGAGGTCAATGGTAACCAGTTGATCTTAGTGATAATCGGATGAATTGTGTTCGTTTATAGAATGTTTGTGAACAAGCACAACATCTCTAAGGCTTGTACAGATGTAAAAAAGAAAAGAAAAGGCACACATGATGGGGGTTGGTAAGAGTTAATTAAAACAACCCAAACTCAGGGCTCTCTTCGTCTTTCTCATCCTGTCTCGGTGGAATAGGTAACTGCTGTGGTAATTATCGGCAGGGCATCAACTGTTCTTTCAGGTGCCAAAAAACTCTTCCAAACGACGATAAAGAAAACGACGACGACGATTCGCGGCGCGCATTTGAGGGAATGAAAAGTTGTACGTCTTGTCAATTCGCCAACGTGTTCATTTACAAACGCAACACGTCGTAGACAAAGAGAGTAAATCATTCAGAAAGTGGATAAACGAGAAGAGAGGGATCGAAATGTAGGCACAGGGGGGAAGGGCAACGGAGAGATGAGCTACAAATGAGAGCGATGGCGGTGGCAGGTTGGCACAGTGCCATCCAGTCAGGACTTGAGCGGGGGCGGGCATGGGGCACGGGGCGAAAGGGGTGAGGACAATAAAGAATAAGAAGAGGAAGAGAAAGAGACCTCCATACCGCTGCCATGGTGCCCACGTTTGGCACAGTGGCGCAAAACGCAACAGCAGAGCGGGCCAGAGAAAAAGGAAGATAGAGAAGACATTCAAGGACAGCAGAGCGTAGAAATTACCTAAGATGCCAGAAGACACATGACGACTCAGACGAAGCTGGAGGAAGGGAAGCATCGGAGGAAAGGAGCGGAGGATCGTGTGAAACTGTGACCTGTAACTTGGTGACGACCGTCGATGTCGATGGACTAGCCCACATTCCATTCATTTTTCAAATTTGCATTCGCTCAATGCCAGCCACGGCGTGCCATCCGCGGCGTGCCAGCCGGCGGGCGCCATGCCAGCCTGCGGTCGTGGCACTGCCGGAGCGATCAAAGCGTACGCCGGAGAACTCTCTTAGTCAAAGACAAGGGGGACTCACCTCTGAGGATTTGCAGCTAATCGCCGTTTGTTTGCTTGGACAAAGCCAAGAAGACATGACCGGGCAACGGATGCCAGCGATTCGGGGATGGCACCTTTTTAAGGGCGGCAAGGGCACAAGGAGAAAGAATGGCGCGCTGCCAAGCCAACAACCCCGCACACATTGGCGAACTCAAACCTCCATACGGTGAGCAGGACATTTCGGATGCCTTAAATGTTTTGGCAACGACATCCCCTCAAGGGAGAAGCCAGAAACATAGATGGCATCATGCCAAACAGACAGAGGGATTCGCGTGCGGCACCAGAAGCTGTAAAAAAAAGCGAAGTAAATGGATACAATAAATAGCAGCAGAAGGGTTGAACCGAAGCCAAATTCAACAATGGTAGGAGTTTTCGACCAAAAACCTTTCCTCGATGCCAATTGCTGCAACGAAAGGAAGCTGGTGGCCATTACAAAGACCTACAAGGGATCATTCCAATTTAAAGAGAAAGAGTGTGTGGAAGACGGGAAATAACGAGCAAAACGAATAAAGGATATTGAAGGAGAAGAAAGTGGGAATGTTGTGCCTAATGAAGAATAGCAGGAGTGGGTGGACAAGGATGATGAAGAGCCTCTTTCCTGCACATGCACACCTGGGCCATTCTTAAAGGGATATCCCCTCAGACTGCTGAGTGTGTTAAAGGGAGGGATGTGTTGGCATCATCTCCAGGGTGTCAAGCTGTGTTTCTGCATTGCCAGTCAGGGAGGGTGCTGCAGTCGTCAGGGGCGGGCAACTGTCTGGGCATCTCATCTGCAGCTAATTAACAGCCACACACTAATTCTAACAGCCGATCATAATTAGAGATTTAATCGCTCGTCAACGCTTTACTCCCCCCTTAAATTGTGCCTCCTATTTGGACACGTGAGGATAAGCTAAGGAACGCCGGATCTCCCCTCCCCTTCTCCTCGTCCTTCTTCCCTTCATCCTTGGCTCCAGACTCCAGTGGGATCTTAATTAAGCCTGGGCTTCATTATGCAAATGGAGTACAATAAACGACAGCGGAGGTGGAGTTGGATACAGACTGAAACGGAACGGTGGGAGGGGAGCACTGGAGGTTGAAAAGGAGGAAGGTTACCAAAATCGTCCGTATAATGTTACTGCATTACAATATTTGCACGCCGTTGTGACGTGTGCGTCTTCAGTGCACCACAAAGACATGCGGTTTGAGGATCAACAGATTTTGCTCAGATGCTCCACCTCTGCTGCCATTTGAAAAACTTCTCCGAAATGACACTGGATTCGCGGAATCTTATCTCTCACGAAGCAAATTCACAGGGGAACGGTGACAATGAAACCCTTAATATCACCAGTTGGCCGTTGTCGTGGATACGAAGAACGATGGTTGAGATAGGGAGAGAAAAAGGACGCAGACAGAAGCACTGACAGTTGCAGCAGCATGGCAGCTAATGTCATCTCAGTTTAATCATCGCATGGGATCATGGGGTTCATGAAAATTCATTTGCATATCATTAAATGGAGGGAGGTTATTTGGTGCGGGCCGCCGAAATGGGATTGGATGAAGCAAGAAAAAAAAGGCAAATGGTGGGGCTCGTTATTAAACAGCAATGTTTTATAGTCCGCAAGCCAATTCATTTAATTTGGGCGTAATTAAAATGTGTCAGACTCCATCAATCATTCCAACAGGGATACTATCGGTCTGAAAAAAGAATAATCATTGAATATGCGGTTGGACATTTTCCAATAACAGTTTAACTGCTTTAGTCTACTGTGAGCTTGACCCATCCACACGTTTCTCTAATTTATCTGAAGGAGTGTGTCAAAACATTGTTTGTGACTTATCTGTATTTTGTCAAGACATGTCTATCTATCTGACAGGTGGGGATGCCGCCTCATGTTAGTCAATAAGAGAATAGCTAACACTGTCTTTTTGACCTCAGTAGTAAGCTGTCAGTGGTGTGTATGCACGTGCATGCATATGTGCATTTTATCATTTGCATAAGTGATGTAATTAGACTGCCCTTTCACATGCAGATCAGTTTGACAACATGGCAATCACTTCAACACACACACACACACACACACCGCCATACACACACGCGTACACACGCGACAGCACGCGCTTACTGCCGTGACCATCCCCATATCATGGGGAGTCTGTTGTCTGTGAGCAGAGAGTGTAAAGATTAACATAATCCAGCTAATAAGTGTGAGTAATATTCACACAGTGACGCGTGGCGTAGACACCGTCCTGCTGATGCGTATTTGTATCTCATTATAGATGTAAAGCACTGAAAGGGAAGGGGGGGAGGTGTTGCACAGTGGAAGGGGGAGGTGTCATAAAAAAAAAGAAAAGAGTGTCTGAATAGGGAGACACCCAAGAATGATAATAAACACAAGCATTTTTATGAAACTATTCAATCCACCGTTTCTACAGGTTTAGAGAGTGCAGCTATATTCAATAAAATATTCCAAAGGGTACCTCATATCTAGGATGCTGGTGATAGGACAAATAGTATAGGAGGTCTTTCTAATGTTTCCTGCAAAATCAGAAAGACAATTTCACTCTTTTTCCTGGTGGTTTCCAATTCTAGGAGTGTCAGTTTTTGTAGCAAAGAATTATAAATAGAGTATATTTGCGCTTGCAGGCTAGCTCTGCTACATGATTGATTAAGATGGTGTGACGACCATTAAAAAGTCATTTAAAAGATGGATAGCGACCACATTTCCAAATAAAAACCACTTTATACCTGATGAAGTGCTGAACAAACTCTCCTTCAAAGACATTTACTGATTACTCTGCCTATGTGTGTGCGTGTGTGTGTGAAGGTGTGTGATTGTAAATCAGCTGTAGAAGATACCAAAGCAATCTTCAGGACACAGTTGGGCAGTGGGATTTTCTTTAAAACTAAAATTAGATCTCACATTTTTTAGATTAGTAGAAGCGGAATAGTGTTCATTTGGACGTGGACGTAATCTAACTGCATGCAAAACGTCAGAAAGAGGCCAACAGACGCACAACTGAAATGCATCTGATAGCAAAGCATTGCGTAGACTGAAGCCTCAGAAGCCAAAGAATCAGAGCTGTGTCTAAATGTGTGAATGTATTTCAGCTCTGTCTCTTTAACTCGGGGCTCCACCACAGCGGCGTGCTTTGGGATTCATGCATAAACATGAGCTGGCCTTTCAGCTCTCTCCTCACATAACCAATCTAAATCTAAATGAGCCCCCACTACTGATACACCAGCAGGCAATGGACATTACAACCCCCCCCTCCCCCCTGCCCAGCCGAATCCCTTACTCTACTCTCTACCCCAGCAACAAATATAACACAGCAGGCAATAATTTCACGCTATTCCTCAAAGACCCCCCCCACCCCTCTGCACACGCACTCGTACCCCTTTTTGCCGCAACCCCACCAGCTGCACACTACTCATTTGATTAAGAGGGGGAGGACAGCGAGAGAAAGGAGAAATGGTCGGGGATCACTTTATCAGGATGACTCTCTGAGAAGGCTATCGGCAGCTACGAAGCTAGCTCGAGGCCTCTTCGGTGTTTACTTTGCCATTGTTCTCCCCGTGTATCGGTCTGTCGGTTCCCTGCCACCCGGATGAGAACGGCTTCCTCTGCGGTCGCATTCATGTATAATCGTTAAATGACTGGCTTGCTGCTTGAGAACAAGAAGCAGATTGTGAATGGTAGTTTTCATTCTGAGGGAAGTTGTCTGATCATCCGCCGGAAAGTTTTACACCAAAGAAAACAAAATAATAAAAATGATCTCTACCAACCTACGTTGTGGTCTTTCAGATGTTGCACATGAGAATCTGTAAATCTCTAAATGTGCAGTAGTGTGCAATTTTACTCCCCTCTCTCCCAGACTCGTAAAACACATTATCATCAGCAGCAGGAGCAGCAATGTAATTCATCCGAGGTCGTTAATATTCATCATATCATTTAGTTACAAAGGAAACTCATCTGGCTGAATGTCACAGATGTAATTAATGAAGTGACCCCAGGAGGTCAAGGCTCCATTCACCAAACGCCTTCCACACACTGCTATGCTGCACACATACACGCGGTCGCACATCAAAAGCTTCCACACACACACACACACACACACACACACGAATATGAAACACAGAACAGACCCTCGCATACCACAACATTCCCAAAATGGCTTCTCTTGGTTAGACCAGGGATGAGACCAGAGCATGCACCAAAGCAGACTTTATTTAGCTCAGTGGAGTATGGGAAGGGAAAGGAAGAGAAACACACACAAGTAGGGAAGAACTTGGGCAGGGGGAGAGTATAGAGACGCACTAAACCACTGGAGCAGGACATAAGGACAGGTGCACATCACAGGTATCTTTTTGGTCATCACTATGGCAACAACATATCCAGAAAAAATTAAAAGAATAGTTTTACCTACAGATAGGATAACGGAGTCTCATCACCATAGAGGACCCCAATATGTACATCTTACAGTCAATAAGATCAAGAGAGTATGACAAATGAAATTTTAAATAATCAGCATACAAAAAAACTGCCTTTGTGGTATTTGGAATGCACATTTCTGTACAGAAGAAAGCTCATTGGTATTGTCGTAAACATTGGTTAGTTTAAGAACAAATCATGACAGAGTAAATCAGTCCACATCCTTTGGAAAGTCGGTAGTGATGTCAGTCTGAGACAAGTTCAGCAAAAGCTGTTTGCAATGGGCAAATGGCTAGAAACTAGAGACATTGCAACACAGAAAGGCTGACACTACCAGTAGAACATTTGGGGCTGAACTCCTTCAAATAGCAAATGCAGTACCAAGGATTGAGAAATGAATGCCCCAAGCAGGTTTCTCTAAAAATGATGCTTGAAAAAATATTTCTGGTATTCTGAAAGCCATTTTTATCTTCTGAGTCGGGGTAATTATTGGGATACTGAAAAACAAACCTGATGGAATTGAGCCCCACATATCCATTTGTTTACAACGGAATAACATAGGAGCAGTTTATCAACAGCATCACAGGTATCATTACAGTTTGTAGTCATTAAAGCCTAGTGGTAAAGCGATCAGAGCATGCATCTTTCTACAGTATCATTAGAAACTACAGTACATTAGCAGCAAACTGGACATCCTTAAGGGCTGAAGTTCAACACTATGGTAAAAAAAAAAAGAAAGAAAAATAAGCTGCAACATTTCTCAAGAGAAGTAAAACTCTTTAACCGCTATATTACAGACTGCCATGGCTCTAGTTTGGGGTTTTGGTTACAGTTTCCAGTGTGCTTATGAGAGGCAGAAAACAGTAGCTTAGATATAGGGACTCCTTCCTTCTTTAAAAACAGCAATACATCGTCAAGTAAACAGTAGCGCTTATTTTTGTAGGTCATATGGTTAAAGTATTATCACGTCTTTGGATTTTTGTCTTAAAGCATTAATTATTGTTATATTATCATTATTACAGTTAGAATAAAGACTGGTTGCAAATGAACAGGAGGAAAAGTCGAGGAAAGTAGGAGGAGGGAAAATAAATTAGGTGTACAAAAATAACATCAATAACATCCAAAGTTTTTCTCAGTTTTGCGCAGTAGCTCCCTATCGGTAAGTGGACAAGGGAGCTATGTCTCAATCATCCAATGAAGTCTCGAGTCAACCATACAAAAGCTAAATACTGTACATTTACCCCTCACACTATTAAACACTTTAGTTTCAATAAGGTTTTTGTAACAATCTATTACTCAGTGGTGAAAGCTCAGATCTTTGAAATACAGATGTTTTTGTAAATATCTTTTAATACTTAGTCTTAGGTTAAATGCCTTATCCGTTTCAAAAACAGAAAAGTACAGTATCAAGACCACAATTTCAGCGGAGCCATGTTGAGCCGTTGACCTGAGCATAGAAAGCTTTACATCAATCAAATAACATTGGTATGCCATTGGTATATTCAACTAGAACGGAAAGGCAGTAGGTCACCTTGCCTGAACATATCAAAGCTGTCATAATCGTTTACTAATCATGACACTATTATATCGAAGCAAGACAGTTCATCTCAGTCCATAAGATTTATATTAAGAAACTATTACTAAACACACACACACACACAATGTAAATTTCAGTTTGGTTAAAGTTTTCATATACAGTATAATGGTTGAGTGCTATAAAAAATAGTTTGCCCCGTTAAGGACAAACTGGCCTTTTCGTTCTGTGCTATTTGGGCTGTTATCCAGTAAAGGAACATAGAAGGTGTACATATACAACAGAAGACTCATCATTGGCTTGTGGGGGGGTGAGGCTGCATTCTGGCACCGTGTCAGTCTATTGGTACCCGGCTTAATTTTGCCAGCTGCAGATTTCACCCAATCACCGTACAGACGTCAGCTCTGCAGTTTGTTATTGAAAACAAACATGTTGAAACTAAATTCACAGACATGAAACATTTTGGTTATGAGCTTTGGAATCTGAGTCAGTCTTTACAAAAGCTCTATGCGAACACCTCCATCTCTTTCAAGGATATTTTTCCATGTTCTTTTTTGTTTTTTTTTCACCCAACTCTTCACTGTGAACTGCTTGGTTTTTCTTCAAGTTTATCTTTTGGAGCTCTCTATGTACACTAAAATCTCTTTGACAATTTCTTTTCCAGCCTCTTTCAGAGTGGCACTACATGCTACACAGCTAGTCATCTAGCTCTGGTGGAGGGCCCACTGTGAGTCTGTCATGCAGACTGAGAGGTAGACTGCAGGTCTAGCTGGGCAGTGAGGTCACATACTTGGAGAATGCTCTTTGGCCTCTGTGGCATCTGGTTGGTTATTTTAATCAAGGTGGTGTTTGGTTGTAGTAAGGTGTCTCGACGTAATAGGGAGAGGAGCTCTTTTCGACATTAAATGACAGACCGGAAAAGAGTTTAACAACGATATGAAAAGAGGAAAGCTGTATCGAGAGGACTTGGTTTGGGCTCTCTCAGTTAAGAGAGTTTCTCTTTGGGCCACTGTGGCTCGGCATCTTTGGGGTGTTCAGGTTTCAGGTTTGGCAGCAAAGTGGACAGGGTATACGTTTAGAGATCAACAGCAGGTGCAGGGGGTGGTGTGGGGGAAGGGGGGTCAGGGGGAATGTTGTAGAAAAAAAGCTAAACGGCCGTAGTCTGCCTCTCTAAGCTCTGTCTCTCTCCCCTGCCCCTGCTGACAGCTCGGCCTGCTCCCTCTCTGCAGAGTCAGAGCTCAGGCTCCTGGCCCTCTTCTCCTTTGCTCTGCAATCTGGATCCACACCTGTGGGGGGAAAAGATAGATTTTTAAATACCCTAATGGTTCTGAAACCAATACTTTTTAGTCAAAACAAAATGCACATTCAACCTGCATTTTAGAATTTTATGAATATTTACCTGCACAACTCTGTGAGGCAGTCCCAGCTCCTGGCCCCAGTGTCTCACACTCATGTCGGTTGGGGGTGCGGTGGCTCCTGTAGAAGTCTCTGAGCTGGAGTACCTGGTAGTGGCTCATCTGTGTCCGTTGCCGCTGCTGCTGATGTTGGTGCTGTTGCAGACTCAGCGTATCACCCCAATCTGAGCTCGGACCCCCGGATCCCTCTGGACTGGGAGAACCTTGGTCAACCACACTTGAACCCTCCTCACATGGGTACTCCTCATCATCTTCCTCATAGTCATCATCCTCTTCTGGGTTGTTCAGATCGGTGGTTAAAGAGGTAACAGGTGGCTTCATACTCAACTCTTTGTTAAGGATGACATAGCCATTGTTTGGGATGGGGTTGGAGGAGATAGACGGGCCTGGTCTGTCCATGACAGAGGACATAGCCATCCCTATTGGCCCATTGGATCCATTACTCATCGATAAGTTGTAGCCTGCTCTTTCAGCCTCTGCCCAGTGGCGTGACCTCATATGGGCATCAAGAGCACTCTTTACCTTGAAGAGAGCCCTACAGAATGGGCAGCGCAAGTGGTTTAAACCCAAACTGAAACTGGATCCTGGACCCATTGACCGGAACTGCCCTTTTCGCTCTCTGGCTCGTGTATTCTGAAACCAGACCTGTGAAGAAAGGACCAGCATGATTTAAAATTTTTGTTACAGAACATCATTACATAATTTTCTGTACCTTTCTTTCCATCCATCTCTCCAAAAACATTCACACATAATTAATTACAACAAACATCCATAAAATACCTGAACCACACGTCTCGTCAGGCCGACATCGCGTGCAATGCCTTCCAGCACTCCTCTTGTGGGGTTGGAGTCCATACTGTAGCGCTGATACAACACTTCAAGCTGTTCTGGGGTGATGGTGGTTCTCTGACGTTTATCCCTTCGGTGCTCTTCCTCAATCTCTCCAACGCCCCTTTGGCCTTCAAAATTGGTTTCCGACATGAGCTTTGAGCTCTGCTTCATGGGTGTTAGGGAACTTTGAGAGAGGTTAGTGAGGTTGTTACTCGAGTGATCAGAGAGCGTGTTATTCATTTGTATGCTGTTTAAGTGTGAAATCATGGAATGTGTGGGATTAGAGTGCATTTGGGACATCATTTGGCTAGCCATCAGGGTGTGGTTCGGATGGAGCATCATGTAAGGCATGGTTCGGTCTGTGAAGCCAGAGTGTAGAAATTGGACCTGGGACTGAGCTGCCAGGAGGTGCCTGGTCTGATGTTCTTGCCAAAGTTGGAATGAGGGTAATGACACTGGGCAGAGACTGCACTGAAACTGAGCCTGTGTTTGGGGTTGTTTTTTTTGTTGGGTTTCCGTGGACAGACAAGAGGTGGCATCCGGCAGCCGAATGTAACTTGTGTCAGACTCTGAAGCAGCAGGGAGGCTTGGTGATGTATCAACAGGCTTTTCAACAGCTGGATCAGAAGGAGGGTTGCATCTATTGCCCTGGCTAGAATGAGCTGTGGATGCAATGGCAGGAACATCTTTTTGTGAAGAGGAGGAGGAGTGAGGGCGGGGTCTTTCTGGAGTAATTTCTGGCTGAAGGTTGGGCTCAGGTGGTGGAGTGGACATGGTTTTCTTGGCTTTAGCAACTTCCATACATTGGATGTCTACATCTGAAATTTCATTTGGAGTTTGAACCAGAGCAAGGCTCTTGTTAGCCCGAGAAGAGGTTGTTTTGTCTTCTTGTTTACTAGTAACAGGTGGTGGTTCACCATTAACTGTTGTATGCTCACTTTCCATGCCGGAGGAGGAAGGATCAAGAACAGGTGAGTCAGGGTTGGTGTAATACTCATAAGTCAGATCCATGGAGTTTCATTCGGAGATTCACCTTGTGCTTCATCACCACAGCTATTATCCTCATCATCATTCTTGTAGAGGCCAGTTCGCTGTCTGTGTAGGTTGTCATGTTGGTTCTTACCCTCTGATCCATCATCAGTCCCCCGTTCTTGATTTTTACGGGCTCTCTGTCTTGCATTTTGTACCCACACAACAGTGACTCTATTAGGGAGGGACAACAAAGCAGACATTCGATCATATTCTTCCTCTCTGGGATAGGGAGTCGCCTCAAACACCTTCTGCAGGGTCTCCAGCTGTTGTTCCGTAAAGCGGGTTCGGGAAGAGCGTCGGCCCCTATGGGGCTCTCCTCTTGGGAGGTCTGTTGTGTGGGCCTGTGGGGAGGTATGGGCTGGAATGGCTGGGGACAGCGAACATGGGGAAAGTGACAGAGGCTGGGTTTGTGCTACTTTTCTGGGCTCCTCTAGGGCTATAGTTGGGGGGTTATTAAAATTGTAAGGGGAATCCTTGTCTCGCTGGCGCTCTTTAAATAAGGTGTTGCGAAACCAGTGTTTGATAACTTTATGAGGCAACCCAGACAGACCAGACATCTTGTTCATGTCTCCATCACTGGGGAGACTGTTAATATCAAAGTGTTTCCTCAGGACAGTCAGCTGCTCCTCAGAGATGCGGGTTCGGGTTCTCTTACCCTGATGTTCATGTATTGTTGGGCTGACTTGGGGTTGCTGTCCTGTTTGGATAGGGCTGTGTTGGGATGGTTGACCTATCAGCGTAGAATTGATCTGGGATGGCTGACCTTGCAAAGCTGGGCTGAGCTGGGACTGCTGGACAAGCAGAGAAGGACTGAGCTGTGGCTGTTGCCCTAGAAGTGCCGTGTTGAGTTGAGATTGGTAGAGTTTTGCCAACTCAGGGTTCATACTTGAGTCTAACCAAGGTTGGGGCTGGAGACCCACAGACTGCATCACAACCGGAGAAAGGAGGGGTAGGTCCATGGGAAAAGGAATGTGGGGTAGGGGAAGGTTAGGTAAAGGCCGTTGGGCAATGGGAAGCTGAGACAAGCCTGGAGGAAGCATAGGTATTTTCTGTAAGGTAAGAGGTGTGGCCTTCGCTGGGGTTGTTGTTTGAGAAGTAGCTGTTGCAGCCGGGCTTGTGGTGGGTGACTCTTGTTGCGGATATTCTTGAGATTGAGGAATTAATGGAGGAGAAGAAGAAGGTGTGGGAGTAGTTGTTGATATATCTGTAGCAAGAGCACATGCGTTTGTTATGGGATCTGAAAACGACGGTGCAGGAGAGGGCTCAAGACTTTTAACTTGAGACATAACCGGTTCCATTGCTGGTTCTGATTTCAAGGATGGGACAGGAGCGGAGGCAGAGGCATTTGGATTATCTACAGATTTAGGTTGTGTGAGTGGGTACATCTGGTCATACTGCAGCCTGTACTCCCTGGAAAATCTCTCCAGTGCAGGAGTAGGAAACAGTTTCCTATGAATGTACTCCCGGTGACTTTTCAGAATCAAGGCATCTGAAAAAAACTTGCCACAGTCTCTACACTTTTCTCCCTTTCCACAACAACCTTTCTCTTTCTTTACGGATTCCTCTTCTTGATTTGTTTTGTCATGTGGCAAACTTTGGATCTCTTTGTTGCCTTCTAATTCTTTGTCATCGTTGATACAGCCTTCTGGCTTTACATCCTGTAGTCCACTTAACTCAACTTTTTCTTCTTTTGAGTAACCCTCCATCTTGTCATTATCAGAGCCCCCTGGTTTATCTGGTATCATATGGATTGGTATTTGCTGCTGGTGTCTATGTCTACTTTGTATGTATTGCAGTGCCAACTCATAGCCATAGCTCTGCAGCAGGGCCCGAACAGGCTCGCCATTCACAGCTGCATAGGGAACTCTGGGAGGAGGACATTGCAATCCATGGCGAGTAAATGAAGAGGAATCCGTTTCTGCTTTCTGACACTTATTTTTAAAACTAGGAACAGGCCTTTCTTCTTTTCCTTCGTCTTGATTAGAATTGCTGTCTCCTTGTTCAAACTTGTTGTTGGCGGATCCACTGCCGCCAGCTTCAACATTGGCTTCACACTGCACACAATCCTTTAATTGGCTAACAGTTGAATTTGAATGTTGTCTCTGGGTTTGGTTCTCATCTATTTGAGTTTGGCACTCCTTTTTAACTTCCACCGTAACTGGTTCTTTGGGGATGGAGCTGGCACATACCAACTGACTAAGTTCTGGGTTCTTAACACTTAATTCTGGGTTAAAAGTCATGTCCCCTGACAAATAAAAGGGCAACAGAAGTTGCTGCTGCAGAGAGAGCAAGTTGTCTGGTGCCAGGGAGAAGTGTTGTTTAAGGAGATTTTCTGTCCCTAAGGGAAGGTGCTGCATCAATTGGGACTGGAGCAGAGCTGTGTGTTGCTGTAGCTGAGCGTGGGCCTGTGCCTGAGCCTGGGCTAACTGCTGCTGTTGTATTAACATTAGCTGGTTTCTTGACGCTATAAGTTCTGCAACTCTACTTTTAGCCTGCTGGCTTTCTGTTGGGATAGAGAGGGTTCGCTGGGCGTCAGTTGCTACACCAGGGCCTAATAGTAAAGAGGTTGAAGAGTTTCCTACATCTGGTCTCTTGGAGAATGGTAAACCCTTTGATGTTTCTTCTTTGTTGGGAGCCGAAGTAAGAGTAGTGGGGACTGAAGCCCCCACACTTGATGCTGGGGTCTGTGGAGCTGAGTTCTGGGCAGCACGAGCTCTAGTCTGATGAAGAACAGAGCGAAGATGTATGTCCAGCGTGGAGCTCTGGCTATAGCCCACTCCACACAATCGGCATCGGTAGGGCCTAGGATCTGGGCCACGGGGAGCCTCGAGGACAGCAACACCTGTGCCAGAGTCCTGTAACGCCCTTCTGGCCCGGTGGAGATGGGACACAGAGTTATAGTGGACCAGAAGAATGGTTTTCTGGGTAAAGGATTCAGAGCATATTGTGCATTTGTAGGGCCTGGCTGGATCCAGATAGCGATCCATTGAGGGATTGGAGCCCTTTTTGACCAGGAAGCCTGAAGTAGGTTCTGTTACGATCTCCTCATTTGACCCTTTGTCTGGCTCAGTCGAAACTTCATCCTCTCCATCAATTTCCCCGTTTACGTCATTCTCTTTCACCTGTACTTCCTCCTTTTGTTCCTCCTTTCCCTCCATGCCTAGGGCGTCTTCCTCCATCTCTTCATACTCACCCTCTACTGCTTCTTGACCCGCTTGAGGTGATAAACTAAAATCTTGTTGAACTGAACTCTTGTTTTGCTCCATGTATTGAGCGGTGTGAGGCGGTGAGAGTGTATCCTGTCCCCAGTGTGTTGTCCAGCTGTGAGTGTGTGTTCTGCATGTGTCTCTGCAAGGCCTCTTGACTGCGGCACCGGCGAGCGCAGAGCGGGCACTCTGTTGCCGCCCTCATGGCATGGTACTGCCAGTGCAGCTGGAGCTTCTCTTGAGTGGGGAACGCCAAGCTGCACCTGCTGCAACGGAACCGGTAACCATGGCGATCAGAAAAGGGAGGGGGGTCGCCGGTTGGCGAGGAAGGGGGGGTCTGAATTGGGGACTGAGGAGCCAGTCTGCCATTGTAAGGGTGAGTGGTGTTGTCTTCTAGGGGTGGGGTGAGTAGAGCTGTGACATCTTTGGGTGTGGCTACATCTCCCTCAGTGCTCTCAACTGAAATGCCTTCAAAGTGCAAAAAAGAAAATAATAAATAGTGCATTTTAAATAAAATTTGTGAATTTTAAATACAATTTTGAGCCAAAAGGTGTGTGTTTTAAACAAATTACAGTAACATGGTGACTCTTAATCTCTAAAATAGGCTCTTTTTTAAAGTGCATTTTAAACCAACCTTGGTTGTTCTGTAAATCAACACAGACACTAGAATCTTCTGTCTGTGGTTCTGCCTGCAGCTTAGGCTGCGGTTGTTCCTTGGATAGTGTGACCTGCAAGGGAAAAAAAAGGGACGGTGTGTAAATTTTTGTTGTGTATTGGGGTAGGGATATTGCCAGTAATAATCAGTGCCGTTTTACCAATTGAAACTGAGAGAAATATGGGTTATTACCATATTTCCTCGATCCTATATTATGAATAAAACATTTAATTGTACAGAATAACAGCAAGCAAATATCCAGTCGTATAAACATGACTGCCTGCACACCCTGTCCTAATGTCATAAAACATTAAAGTGGGAATCTGCGAGTGTATCGTTACATCTTGCACCTGCTTGCGCAGCAGTGTAGACAGCAAGGCACATCAATTTGGTAATAAGTGTATATGGTGAGATATGTGGGTCTGCCCTTCAGCCTCGTCCAGCATGCCCCTAGGGTTTAATAAAACTTTACTGAGCTGAATAATGAATTTATTTAAAATCATTCTTCATACAGAAAACCTCCATCTCCACAGCTTCAAGCACTGAGAGAAATATACCATATCTATGCGAACAGCTAGCTACCCTAAGGTAAGGAAAGACAGCTAAAGATGAGATTTACATGACAAGAGTCTTCTCTGCGTAACAGCTTCATATGAGAGAAAGAGAAGAACAACCACACACACACACACACACACACACACACACACACAGCAGAGAAAACTGAAGGTCAGGCTTAATCTAGAGAACGTAATTGGAAAGCAAGGTACATAATGGCCATCATCACCTCAGTCTGAATTAATGAACCTCAATTACTATCTGAGAGTGAGGGAGGGTCGGAGGGGAGGAAGATGGTGGGGGTGAGGAGGGGTAAGGGGTATACAATACGAGGAAGGGAGAGCATGGAGAGAGGGAGAAGGTATGGGGCAATGAACAAAAAAAAAAAAACGGGTTTGGAGAGAGAGAGAGAGAGAGAGAGAGAGAAAGGGAGGGGTAACCCATAAGAAATTGAGAGAATGCTTGGGAGAGACAGAAAGGGAGGGGCAGGGACAGGGACAGGGATTGCTGAATAGGAATGATAGGAGTAGGTGAAGGGGGGAGGGAGGGACAGCAGAGGGGAGAAGGGTGAAAAGCAGTCAGTCAAGTGGAGGCGAAGAGCACAAGAGACAAAGGCCACTTAGCATACAGGCCAGGGAGATGGAGGATGGTGATGTGGATAGATGACCAGTCTTTGTTAGTTGGAGAGACACAGTAAAAAGCATTGGGGCCCCTTTTTAGCTTGACTGCACTTCTGGTAATAGAGGGCTACTTAAACATGCATTATAGAAAGACTGGCTTTTCCCTCACTCACTCAGTCAAACCCTTCTCTCTTCCACTCTAACACACGTGCATACACATACACGCAGAATTCACGGCTGCATCAAAGATGATAGCGGGGAGCTACTTAAACATGCATTAAAAAAAAAAAAAAGCAGGGGCTTTCTCTCTGGTGCCTTCTTAATGGAATTGTCTCCCTACATTTTACTCTCCCCCATCCCCCATTGCTTTCTCGTTTCTTTTGCTTCCTGACAAAACACAAATACAACAAACAAACACTTGCATACACTTACTGTGCTGATGAGCTTGTCTACACAGTCCTGTGCCACATTGTGCACGTGCGTGAGATGCTGCCGAAGGTGTGTGTGTTGGAGTTTAACCTGGCACAAAGGGCACTGGACAGTCTTATAGAGAGAAGTGTGGGGGGGGGGGGGGGGAGAAATAGTTAAAAAACAGTTGAATTAGAAGGCTGGAAGAGAGCCTGTGTGTGCGCATGGGTTTGTGGGATTACACGATGTCCGTTTATGCTTTACATTAACGAGGACATGCTTAAATCATACAAATGTCTGTCAACTGCTCACCTGCTGGTTTGGATTTTGCTGGTGTATTCTGGGACGTTTGGTTGAGATGGAGTTTTCCATTTCCTCACATTCAGAGGATGGACGCTTGACTGATGAAAACGACTCCCTCTTTTCGCTTTCCTCCTCCCTAGTCGGTTCTTTAAGTGAAAAATCATATGAAAATGTAAATGAATGGATATTTACCATGTGAGTAATATGTTATCACGCCACCATTTTTGACCAAACTATGAATTAACATGCCTGTCTCTTTAGAAATCTGCTTTGTCCCCAAGTTACAAGTGTCTTTGGTTGTGTCCAAAGGACCAGCGGTGGTCTCACTGGAAGTTTCAATATCCTCACTGAGCTCTCCTGGAAGGGAACGTGAATAATAGTTATGTTACACAAACATTGTGCGTCATACAATTATATGTACAATATGTTCCAAGAAAATGTTAATTGCACTAATTGTAGTTTATATAATCCTCTAGGTAGCATCCTGCAAAAAGACCAATGTTTTTGGACCTCACTCTATTCTTCTCATTTGCCTCCGTACGCTATTGATCAATTATTGATTCTCCATTAGATTCTCCTCGGAGGTGAGGTGGAGGTAATATGGACTTACAACTCATCAGTTCACCTCGATAAGTCTTAATCTTCACATAAACAAATCACAGGATTCACTTAATTTACAACTGAAGTGTTGAACGACTAATTTTAGATTTCACACACTCCAGACAATGCATACTGAGGATTTTATCTAAAACAGATGGGTGAGCCTTTACTTCCCTTATCCAAGGAATTAGTATTGTTCCATTGATTAGCAGGTGCTAGTTAGCCGTTGTCAGGGGTTATTGGGGGTATAACAAGGATGTGTATCGACAAATCAATTTACTTGATCAATATCTCAGCAACGGACATGACTTATTTTCTCCCTCTTTTCATCTCAATCCCCTCAATGACGCCAGATATTACAAGCAACATAAAGCCAAATACAGCCTCATAGTTCATAGTCTCACCTGTGACACCGTCAGGGCTTTTCCTGATGGTAAAAATGGCTGCCAACTCCTCTCCACCCATTGGCTCCAGCTGTAGCAGCCCTTCCCTCTGCTGATGGGTTGGGGTTTGACTGTGTTTCAGTACTTGTAGTTTAGAAGAGGATGAGTGGTTGCATAAGAGACAATGGAACAGCCACGATCCCCCATCAACCTCCCCGTCATACTGCTGCAGGAACTGAAAATAATGAAGCAGAAAGGAGAAAATTAAGATATTACGGTTGATAGTTCAAGCTGAATACATTTATGATTGGACTGCTGCTTGCATGCCATAAGATGAATGTGTTGTCAATGACATTACTCACTCGGTAAACCCGGACGCTGGCCTTGTGGTGGGAACTGAGGGAATGTCCTCGCAGCTTATCCAAACTGCCGGTCACGTAGTCGCACAGGTTGCACCTCACCTGGATGGGGTTGCCCTTGGCAATGAGGGCCGCCCCCTCCTCGCCCCTATCCCCGCCCTCCTGGAGGTGAGCGGCGAGCTGGTAGCGGGTGCGGTGTCTGTCCGTCTGGCAGTGTAAGGAGAAGTTAGCCCTCAGCTGGGTGGTGTAGCCGCACAGCCTGCAGTGGCAGCCGCCAGCGACCAGGGAGCACCACTCAGGCTGGGGCAGAGATCGAGGGGCGTTCAGGTGCTGCTCCACGGACTCTAAGCTGTCAGACGAAAAGCAGGAGCAGACAAGGCATTGAAACACGCCCCCCTGGGAGAGGGGTTCAGTGGGGGACAGAGACGGGGCTGGAGGAGGCGAGGGGGAGGGGGAGGGAGAAGGAGTCAGCGTAGACCCAAGGGTGACTGGTTGATCTGCGACTTGCTGACTGGTCAGTCGCATATTCAAGGAGAGCTCTGCACCTATAAAAAAGAGAGGGATCCACCGTGACAATTACCAATTTTAAATTTCTTTTGCCGTGTTCTTTTTTTTTTTTTTTTTTTTTGCTGAAGGATTGTGGCGAGGGATGCGTCACTCACCTGCGCTCTGTAAGTGTTTCAGCTGAGGGGCGAGACTCCTACAGTGCGACAGGTAGTAACCTCTCTGGAGCCGCAGCATGTTGTGGGTGTGTTTCTCGCTGGTGGTGTGTATGCGCAGGTTGCGGGCGATGCTGGTCTCATAGTCGCACACGTCACACCGCCACCGCTTACCATGAGAGTGAGTGTGTGCCGGGGGTGTGAGCTTGGCGGGCTGGGTGGTGGCCGTAGAGAGCGGGGGCTTGTACGTGGGCTCATCCGCCGCGTTACCGTCGGAGAAGCTGCTGCTGCTGCTGCTGCTGCTGCTGCTGTTGTTGTTGTTGCCGGTAATGTGGGAAGTGTGCACGCTACCATTCGATTGTCCCCCGTTTTGGACGTTATTAAGGTGTTTATCCGACTGCATGTGTATGCTGAGGTTGCCTTTCGATGAGGTAGCATAGTCACACACCTCACAGCGGTAGGGCTTGTAGCCACAGGCATAGGTCTCGCCACGGGCCAAGCGAGGATGGGGTTTTCCCGAACTGCAATATGCACACACACCTCGCGTCGCAGCGCCACACACACACTTTACCCCGGAGGCCGCGCACACACACTGGCCTCCCGTCTCTGGGTGTTTCTCCTTCATGTGGACTTGCAGAGTATGTTGGGACTTGTAGTGCCAGTTACACTTGGGGCATTTCAGCGTCTTGCAGGAGTTGCGGGAGTGCATTATGGTCATGTGACTGGTCAGGGAATTAGGAGAGAGGTCTTGGTTGAGGTTTTTAAGGACAGCTTCTTTCTGTTCTTCTTCTTTGTCTCTCTCGTCATCCACCTCTGTGTCCAGCTGGCTGTCATTTGGTTCTGGAGCTTTGGCACCATCTCCATTGGAAATGGAAGAGTGAGAAACCCCCGCTGGCCCATCATCCTCAGTAGCTGCACTGGCAGGCTCCATACCTGCCAGTGGAAACGCCAGGGTAGACTGCTGGGTTTTAAAGCTCTGAGGAAACTCAGAAATCCAGCCCTGATCTCCCTTAATGTCTTTTACCTCGGTCTCGCTCAGCAGGGCTGAAAAGGAGGACGGACAAGTGAAGTGCTTTGGAGAGTTGGAAAGAAGAGGGGAGGGCTTTGGAGAGGTGGAAGTAATGGGGGAGGGCTTTGGAGAGGCGGCAATTTTGCTGTTGAGTGTGCCACTGGCCTTTGCAGTGCTGGAAGAAGAGCTGTGCTGGCTCTGTTGAGGTAATAAAGAACATTTGGATTTGGTTTGGCTTTGGTTTGAGATGGCCTCTTCCTCTTCCTTCGCCGCCTCCTCCTCCTCCTCCTCCTCCTCCTCGTCATCCTCCTCCTCCTCTCCTTTGCTGCTAAGGGCTGCTGGGAGGCCCCCTGTAACTGACGCCTCTACTACACCTACAAGCACCTCCCCTTCTTCCTTCCCTTGCGCTGACAAATATGCCTCCCCGAAGTCTTCCTTCATGCCCTGCTTTTGACACGCTCCATTCTCCTTTGAATGTCGGCCTCCTTCTTTCTGCTCACCTCCCCGGGTCTCTTCTCTAGCCTGGGACCCCTCTGCTTCCTCTTCCCCCTGCTGTGGCAGGGTCAGGGGCTCTTTGGCAGGGGCCATGGCTGAGGTATGAGAAGATGACCCCTGCTCGGTACTGACCGCTGGGGTCAGGAGAGGAAGAGATAAAGCCCGGGGACTGAGGTCAGCATCTCTCTCCTCTCCTCCCCCTCCGTCCCCTCCTCCTCCTCCCTCACCGCTGTCCATACCAGAGGCTACAGCTGCCAAGCATTACTCCCCCACCTGTGTTTCAGATACAGGGAAAGAGGAGGAGAGCACAAAACAGACAGAGAGACGGGAGAAGAGTGAAGGGACGAGAGAGAAAAGGAAATAAATCAGTTATGTAAATAATATTGCATAACAGTGGAGGACATTGATTACAGTCCCTAGATAGCATCTGTTCAATATGGCCTTCACAGTGCGCAATACAGAGGCTGGTTACTCAGGGGTTAGCGTTAGCCCTTAATGGGAAAATCAATAGCGTGAGCGCTAAACTAGGTAGAGGAATGCGGGTGAAGGCTACGCAGGAGGTCTCTAATATTTCTCAGGGGACGGGATTAAATAAAGAGCGGAATGCTTCTGAGCTGAAGGGCTTCCACTAAATTGCCACACTTTGATACACTGGGTTTGAAAACTGTTCTTTTATCTGCTTCTTCCATCTATCGCTGTGCGTTGGCGCGGAAATATTAGGAGGGGAAACTGAAGCATTGTTTAGCACGAGCCATTTTATTACACGCAGTGCAAACATGGGGTGGTGACGATACAATAAGCACTTGTGTAATCTAGTTTAGTCCAAATGCAACAAATACTTTTATGTGGCTTACAAAATGCTTGTTAAAATTTTAGAAGGGTTTTGATGAAAATCTGAGATATTTTTTAGGCAATAGTTTGTGTTGCTGCAGTGCTGTGTATTATTTATCTCCTCTTCTCCTTGTGTAGAAGATTGTGTACGCAAAGTCCCACAGCTTGCACACTACGAACACACCCATACACATGAACAATGAAGAAAGGGTGAACATAAAAATAAATCCCTTCCCCCTTAATTCAAACATTATACATAATGCAATTATAGTCAATAATGATGTTTCAAAGACAAATCATTTTAAAGCAATGTTTAAATGAATGTAAGACTGCACTTCTCTTGTTTTTTGTTAAATAATCTGGTGTTAATGAAACTAGCAAAGAGCTGTGATATATTGTCATACATGAATTAGCATACACATTGCTGTCAATAATTAAAAATTCATAAAACGTATCAAGGATATTTAAAAAAAATAATAAATCAATCATACATCAAGACAGTGACTCCCTAAAAAAATAAATCAAGACCCTCCTCCTTGTGTGTTTTTTAACTGACGGATGGACACCAGATGAGACAGATACATCTCTCTTACTCTGTGCGTGTCCCACAATCTCATTACTGACCTTTTTTAATCAAGAAGAGACCTTAATGTACCCTTTCACCTTCTACTTCAACAAACCATCCCCCTCCTGCTGCTGCTGCTGCTGCTGTTTGAACACCGTCTCTCTCCTGCAGCCACCGCCTCTCCCCTCTGCACCTTAAAAGATATATGGCTCATATCGGCACTCTGATAGTGCTTTAATGTACTGTGTTTATGTCACAGGCCACAGACCCTTGCCCACTGCAGCTGTCCACTGTCCCGCTGCATAGTGTTGAGAGGCTGAGCCTGACTGCCAGCAGCTGAGAGGAGTCTCTAATCTGATAAAGATTTTCATTTACACTGCAATCAATAACCCGGGTCTATCGGCAATGTAACTATTTATACAAACATTCCTGGCTCTCTATCGATCACAAGTGCGGGAAACCATCATTTAACAACGTGGGTGTGTGTAGGCTGAAACTATGTGTGTGTTAATGTGAGTAAATTCTGATCCTGGTGATGTCAATTAAACACAGGCATCCGAACGCCTGAAATGTGACCTTTAATTACTGTACATATTAATACACATACATGTTTATTATTGGGTGTGAATACAATAGAATTTGCAATAAATATTTCTGATAAGAAATGTGTCCCCCGAATATTTATCTCAGGCTTGTGTGTGTGTGTGTGTGTGTGTGTGTGTGTGTGTGTGTGTGTGTGTGTGTGTGTGTGTGTGTGCGTGTTTTGTGTGCGCGTGTGTGTGCGTGTTAACAACGGAGAGAGAGGGGTGTGAGGGGGGTTGAGAGAAAGACCGTGAGAGTAGAGTTGTGTTGTGCTAAACTTTTAAGAAAACGCATTTTGTTTGTCTTCCCAGGACGGGGACACTATACGACCGGACGCGGACTAACACCGTTTTGAACGTTCCGAGCTTTTACGCGAGGACTCATTCTGCACGCACCCGTCCAAGGTAACAGCACCGAGCTGCATTCTGCACTATTCTGGCTGTTGGTGAGAATAGCGGACGGGCAGCGACTCGAAGTTCACTCCCCGTCTCGGTCACCGAGCCGCCGACCAGCACGCAGCCTCCGGACCACTTGCGCCTTTGTTTACAGTGCGATCGCACCGTCCGACACTCCCGGTTCAGCTGAAGCAAGAGTGATCGCGTCCGGTACTCAGTAACAGGTGACTCGATGCACAAGCAGATAAAACTAAAGCTCCATTTGTGCGATTTTACGCGATTGCACAGTGCAAAAACACCCCGTTTTCCTCCGCGCCGCCCGGGGTCGCTTCCCCATGTCCCTTTTTAACGTCGTAAACAAACGGCAGACTTACATTTATGCAGCGGCTCTGGTACAAAGCTCCGTACGCCGAATGGGTAGTAGTCCAGAAAACAATCGCAGCGCAGAGAGACCACTCATTCCTTGTGAATGATCCTCTGCGTTTTTGACGGAGCTAGGAGGAAGGGGGAAAAAACGGGGTGAGGGAGAGAGAGCAGCGGGGTCCAAGTTGTTGCCAAACAACAGTGTAATTAAAGCTACATGTAGGCCGTGGTGAACAGACGACAGGGGACGGAGGGGTTTGTGCGAGCTCCAGAGGTAGAATGAGTTCTGATCACTGTGGGGGGAAAACACTTGGCTCTTTATTCCTGCTAATTAGTTTCCTTCAAAAAATGGCTGAGATTGCGCCTAGTGCGCATGTGCGTAATTGCGCAGACACCGCTAATTAGCCCGTTTGGATCAATAGGATTCCGCGAGAGACAGAGAGAGGGAGGGAGGGAGAGAGGGGGAGAGGCTACAGGGGACGCATAGAGAGGACGCGGTGAAGATACACGTTAAAAAAAAAAAAGTACGACAAAATTCAGATGAAAGGGTTTTTTTTATCGCAAACCGAATGCTGTCGCTGAAAGATTCTACTTTAGATGGATGTTAAGACAAATCCCAGCGGATGTAAAATAAATATATATGCATATATTAGAGAGAATACAATATTGGAAAAAATAATCTCTAAATACAAAAATAATCTGAAATATGATGAAAATACCAACATCAATGTCAAAATTTACCCAAAGAAAGACACAATGGAATTTTATAGGAACACTACGACGCCAGGAAATCTCACACAAAACGCCTCAGAATCACCGCGACTCACTATTGAGAACAAAAAAAGCACATTCCAGGGCCTTTGAGGATTGTTTTAGCAATATTATACAGCCGTTCTCTTCGTGTTAATTCATACATTTAACCCTCAAATATAAGCATCGAGTCTTAGACATAAATTTCATTATTTCCATGAAATGTTTACATTGGTGTTAGATCGCCCACCTGCTTTGGACAAGTTGTGGGATGTAATTGCAACCTTTCTGGCAGGCACATATTCCCATTTAATTAACAAACAAGTCAAAATAAGAATGTTTATAACAACAATGGAAGAGGTATCGTCTGTGCTTGACACAGACGATACCTGACTCTATGAAATGAGAAATTGCACTCTTGACTGTATTTGGACGGAGGTTGCAGGTGCGTTGCGGACATTGGTTTGCACACTAATTTTCTCCATTTGGATAAGTTTAAAATACTTGAGCCTCAATGTGTGATGTGTCCACCTCTGTGTTTGTCATCACATAAGACCTTTGGGGTTTTTCCTCTGCTCCGGCCGTCCCATCCTCTCCACTCGGCCCCATTGTTATGATAATACTATTGTGAATTTCTCACTGGATGGGCAATCTGTCGATCGTCCATTTTCAAAGAAGGTGCAGAACTGCATTTATTTGTAAAAATAGAATATTATATTTCATACTTACTTAGGTGTCTATTGTCCTATCTGACCTCGCCCTTATTTCAGACTTGGATAAATATACATTTAGAAAGGTGTGAAAGGCTACGATGAAACAGAAAAAGTCACAATGGGTAAAAAGGGGAATATCATTGTACTACTAAAAAAAAGGGCTATAGCATCAACTGCAGTCAGGTTACTATCAGCTCACTGTTGCGTGAAACTACCGCACTGCAAGGCCGTATCAGAATACTACATGAATATTAATGCTATTTCGATGTGTTGGTTTTGCAAGGACTGGTATTTGGATTTGTGTTTGTGTTGTTAGGTGGGATTATTGTCTTGCATTTGTACAACTATATATATATATATATATGTGAATATTCTTGAAAATGAGTGGTGATATGATTTTAACCTTAGTGTGTGTGTATGTGTGTGTGTGGATGTTGTGTGTGTTTCACTGTAATATATAGTTATATATATATATATATATATATATATATATATATATATATATATATTTATGTGAGTGTGTGAGAGAGACAGACAAGAAGTGATTGATAGTTAGGGTGTGTCTGTGCGTGTATGGGTTAAAATGTTAAAATGATAATTGAAGTTAAAATGTGTTGTTATTCTTCATCCTTATTTGCATCATTTTCTAATACTATAATGTATTCATACGATACTAAATGTTTGCTTCTTTGAATAACCTAAGCAGAAATGCAATATTAGGGAGCAATTTGCTTTGATTTAAGACCAATTATGTAGCATCTTTGAAATTTATCATAGACAAAGGATTTCACATTTTACTCTACAGTGATCGGAAGAGATAATAAAAAACTTTCAATTGATCCCTCATATTTGCATTGCTGACCCTTGATGTAAATATCCATTTGATTAAATTGCATATTTTCTTTCACTATTTAAAACAATCAAACCGGCATAACATACACACTCATATCAGCTCTACTTTGATATGCAAAGAATCCATATATACAAAAACACACATTCTTCCCTAAAGTGGTCCTCACAAAAAGCAAAATAGAAACATTCTCTTGATTGGTTATTAAGTCCAGCACAGAATATGTGAGACGCTCTCCCTGAGCAACACTTTGAGTCAATTTCTGTTGTGATAAATAGAGAAATTTAATATTCTACTGATATCAAAGCTCTCATCTGAATGTACATTTACAATTTATGAAGACACACACTCTCCTTTTCAAACACACTTAAACATGCACAGGCGGTACCATGCCCTCACCATGCCCTCAGGTGTATGCCAAGGGGTTGTTGTTTTCACTGTAATATATAGTTAGCCCTACCGCCAATTTACCCTGTCGGTGTTAATGGGGCAATTAACCACCATGATACCCCCCAGGCAGAAGGAGACCCAAAAGCTCCCCAACTCCAAACTCGTCTTTATGACATTTATATGACAATATGTGGGGAAGCTGGGGACCCATCGGACACCTTGGAGGGTCCTTAATGTCACTCCCTCTCTTGCCCCCTCCCCTTTCTGCCCTGGGGTACGGCACTGAGCAGGAAGTGTAATACATCATGTACGGGAGAGGCCTCGTCCAGCAGGGATTCAACTTTGTTCTCCAAAGCTTCAGTGGGGCCATTCTGATTTACACACCGTGTCCACTTCTGCGCGCTTCTGGATGTAAACCGACTTCCGCAGAAAGCCACACAAACACAAACACACTTCCAGCTAACACACTCAGACTTGACCTGTCCCTTCATTCATGTCTATAAGTCCCCCTATCTTTGTCTCTGCTCACATTCCCCCTGTCCTTCTTACATCCCCAAGGAGGCAATAACCTCCCTAGCAAGTGCCTCCCCTTGAGCCGTTGTCATAGTAACTTGCGGACCGGTCGACATGACAACCCCACCGTGGTCCAGAGATAAATGATAGGCCAGAAATGGAGAGGGAGAAGGCACGGGGGGATTTGCACCCCCTTTAATTTGGTTCGGCGGATTCTGATTCAAAATATGTGTTTTCTCCCTCATTCAACATCAACCTGCTTTACATTTAAACAGGTATTTACAGAAAACGTCGGCCTCCGAGCATCTCCGCGCGATTGGCCTTGCTCTACGGCGCACAGATGGACATTGTGAAAAATTTCAATTCTAAAAATGTTTTGATGATAGTGCTATTTTTCTTTCCTCTATCCTTACAACGGATGTCAACAACGGTATTTTTTCTTTCCAAGCAAACAAATAGAAATGATGGGTGCAGAATACCTGTAAGTTTTTACACTTTCATCTTTTGGAGTGTTCAACCCAGATTCTTCATTCACGGTTACCACCCAATTCATTCGGAGGGAATGCAGATGTATGAAATACCCGCAGCATAAGGATATCTACTTATTAGCCGTTGTCTTTCTGGACTCCATTTCCGGATACCGAGGACAGTAATGTGACCGACCCAGCACCACTTTATTGACAATGTCATCCCACGGCTCGAACGTCCCCTCTGAAAAAACAAATGCAGAGAATTTGCCTGGATATTTACTGAATGATACACATGTGTAAAAAGCACTAGCGTGGTGTATAGCTGACATAGTAGATTTGCAACCGTTTTCACAAATTTATTCCATCATCCATTTTTCACAACGATCCTGTTTTTTATTATTGGAGCGGTCTTTCAAGAAGAGCACTCGGTGAGAAACGCAGTCCTGAGCGAGATGATGAATCGATAACAGCCACGGTGGTTTTGCGCCTCAGCTTTCGCCGATCTCTGACCCCTCTGTGGCAAACTTGGAAGAGATATGTCCTATGAGGATCAATATGGACTGTTATTAATCAGGACTGTAGATACATTATTTTTAATAAATCAAAGGTTTTTGCACTTATTACATATCCTTAACAAAAAAATACCAAACTAAACATTATAGTTATATTATACATTATATCCACTCGCACATTCAGAGGCAAAATTACAACAACTGAAACAAGACAACTGCATGATAAATGTTACCCTGTCATCCTAGAGGCTTCGTTGTTCTATTGGCAAATCATTTCATGCATTAAACATTGTTCCCCAGAAATTTAATATAATATTAATTTGACTTTAATTAGATATATGCTGTTTGCTAAAATTCAGTGGCATAAACAAAGTACATACCGGAAAATGACTCACTCCTTAATAAATCTGATACTGTGATGTATGTATAAAACGTATTTGACTTATACACTTTGTCTATATTATTTAAATTTGAGTTACTTTGTAATTTTCTCCTTAAATGTGTGTCTGTAATAGATTTGCACTCACACAAATTTCACTTCTGTACAATAATAACAGCCCTGGCAAACAAAGCTAAAAAACTCACATCATCAAACAAAATGGTTTTGGTTTTGTGCAATTTTTTTTTTCCTCCGTATTCTTTACTTTGAATATGATTCCGTCATATTATAAAAGTGCTCCCGTTTCTTTTTTGTTAAGGATATGTTTGATGTGGGTGGTTGTTCTAATTTTTTGTTGAATCTTCCTTTGACGGATGAATTTCTCCTTAGGGATCACTAAAGTGTATCATGTAATTTCATCTCGTCTCATCACCTCTGCTATGGCCTCCTGCAAGAGAACATTAATAACATTAATGTTAGATGTGAATGAGTCTGCCTACAGATAGCCAATATTTAGATTCAATCAAATTTGACCATAAGTTGGATGAACCGACGGACATGGAGATAGAAAGGCAGACAGACAAGATGGATGGATGGGTTGGATGAATAGATGGGTTGGAGGCGCTATATTTAATTGTTATTCTTTCTATTTCAAGTTCACAATAAATGGCTTTGCGACCCGACACTCGACAAAGAAAGAAACTGAGCAACAGCGCCCCTTGTTGTTTAGGGACGGAACTGCAAATATGCCATGTAGAAAAAATAAAGAAACATAAAGGGCTTCTCGGACACCGTACATTCGCGGAAGTTGTTCATGTAGTGTCAAGAGAGCGAGGAATGGGAGATTTCTTTCGATATAACGTGAATTAAAACGATTATTTACGTGTGTTTGTTCCGCTCCCTTTTATTACAGGGTTTTCCAAATGGAAGACGAATGGGAAGAAGAGGTACGAAATACCACCATCGCACGGTTGCTTATCGTTTCCCGATACCCAGATTACCTTCATGCGGCTAGCACCTTACTAACGTTACCACGCTTCATTTAACCTAATTTAAACGCATCTAAAATCTGATTCTCTGTTGTGCTTGTTTGAGAAATCGCGTCTCTGTCGCTGTTGTATTTTGCTTGTTTAGGAGCAGCTCGTTGTGGTGGAGCTCTCCGGTATCATCAACAATGACTTCATGGCCAAGTGTCGGGGTAAATGCAAGATACTGGTGAGGGTCGGATATCTATGGGGGGGGTTGCAATGAGGGCGAACAGGTCTGTAGCTGTCACTGAATACCTTCTGTCCTCGTGTTCCAGGGTATTGACAGTGAGAAGCCCATGATGCAGGTGGGACAGTATGTGTTCGCAGGGGAATATGAAGGTAGGGAGTAACCTCTGAATATCAATAGAGAGAAAGCATCTAATTAAACCAAGTTGTCATGATGGAAATATGTCAAAAAATGTTTCGAATTTTGTGGTTTGATTAACGATGAATGGCCCCGACCCCCTGTCCCCCTCACACTGCCCTCAAAAGTCTGATAGTCTTAATAGAAGGTATGAATATACAACATGTTAGATTTAATATCCGTACCTTGATAAGCATGATTAGTGAGTCATTTCAGCGTATTGCTTAAACCATTATGGATTTTATCATAAAATAACCTGCGATCCTTTGCGCTTCACAGACGCTTTGGGAACTTGTGTGCTGTTTGAGGAGACACCTCAGAAAGGTAGGTAGGTTCCTTAATGTTTATTGTTGGCTTTAATCTTTCTTTTTTGTTGTTGTGCTTATTGTCCATTTTGATATGTCGCCAGAAAAAGCAGGCAGTGTTCCAGAGCTTAAGTACATTTGCCACACCGCGAAAAAACTGATGATGCAACGAGTGTTCCTTGTTGAGAAGAAAGAGGGTGCAACCAGCACAGGTCAGCAAGAACTCCTTTACTCATTATGCTGCAAAAAGATCACTTTGTTCCAATGCAGTTATAATCATTCTTTTAAACATTTTAAAGTGGTGCTCGTCAGGAGAAGCTTGGCGCAACTCCTTTTTGGATTTTATGCGGTTGTACAGACTTCTGCATTGCACAACATTGTTTAAAACGTGAATATGGCTTTTTGTGTTGTCCCATCAGAAAGTGGTGAGCAGTTGGACGGAAGCTGTCAGCCCAACCAACCGGGAGAGACAGCGGGCAATATAGACGGCACAGATTTGGAAGACGCAGCAGTGGGCTGAATTGACCTTTCTGTACTAGTGAAGGGACGACAAGCTGTGAAGAACTCCATCTCTAAAACAAACAAGATAAAGACAGTGGGACTCATACACAGTTTTGTAAGAAGGAAAATTGTCAGTATTTGTGTCTCGTGTCTCGATCCTTTTCCAGAAAAATTTAACCGCCCTTCTTCACTTAACCTCAAAAGTACATTTGATATGTAATGCTTAGTTTAAATACAGTTGAATATCACTTTTTAAATGAATCGGGTGAATATATCTCTATATTTCCAGAAAGCAGGGTTCATGGGAAAGGCAGTGCCAAACCTTGTTGCAGCGGGAAGTCCTGTCATTGTGCTTTGTGGGGTTTTCCACTTGTCATCTAACCAGCGGAGGGAGAGATATTTGCTCAAATTGCGAGGAGACCGGAAAGAGTAGGGCATTCAAACTTTTTAAAAAGTGAGTGGAATACTTCATATTCAGTATTTAGGAACATTTTTTTCAAACTTGTGATACATTGTTCCATCTGCACTGACTGTTGATTTACTGTTGTGAAGCCAACTGAAATAAAGGCTATTTATTTTTTGAGTCTGGGTGTTATTGTGTTTTATGTTGTTGCTGATGATTTGTTTTAGTTAAATATCTGCCACAGAATATGTGTTAATTTGGCATTTGGTTTCAAAACAGAGTTTGTTAAATGGGCAAAGCTGTTGTTGATATGTAAATTAATAAAATAAAGATAATTTGTAAGGTGTTTGCCATTGGTTTATCTCTATAATATACGTAAAAGTGCCTATTTCTTTTTTTTTTTATTGTGGCCATTAACTGTTAGAAACGCTGTAGTTTCGTCTTATGAATGAACCAAGTTTTGTTGTCTTTGAGGACGTGGCGCTTCTCAGCCAATCCAATCACCGATGCACCCTTGAAGGGGACCAGTCAGCTGGCGACATCGCACTTGGCGTCTGAGCGCCTGATTGGTCGGTCGCGTTGTTCGTCATCGCAGCGCAGGAAGTGCCTGGGTGTGTTTCCGAGGGGAGGGCCTTAAACTGTATCGACGAACTTCCCTGAAGACACCGGTGAGTTCTCTTAAAAATTCTGTTTTAAAATACAAACAAAAGTAATTGAAAATTGTCTCTTATGTAGCTGTTGTTTAACAACAACGCAACACAGACAGTTACGTCTCTGCTTATTTGCATTCATCAGACGAGCACAGTTGAAGGTTCGCTGAAGAAATAACGGTACGCTAGGTTAGCCAGTCTAACGTTAACGTCAGTCCTCTGGTTTTGGAAGGTTAATTAACGGGTGACGTCACGCTTTCAAACTGTCCTAATTCATCAAGGGGTGGCGAGTTTTAACTTCTTGAGACGTAACGTTAACTTACTAAAGTGAGACTACCGACACTGTCCTGTGTCATACGAAAGCGCAATGTTGCATAGTCGATGATGATGATATATTTTCCTCCCAATACTGCTTTAGAATTCATGCTAATCAGATTAAAGATCATCTTATAATGAAATAATTCTCAAAGTTTAGCTAATTGCAAGTTACAGCACATTGCATCACTTTGAAAAAATGTGCAGTTCAATTCTAGCTAGAATTAGTATTACACGTCTAAAATGGGGCAGAGTTGAGTTTTGCTTATAGTCCAGGTGTTATTGTGTGGTTTGTGTTTTTGATGATTGTAATTTCTATGTACTCTAACATTTAGAGTTGAGTTTCCCTAATTCAAAACCCCCGGTCAGCTGAGATTGGCATGCAATACAAAACTTAAAGCAGATCGCCCCGTTTGAGCGCTGCAGTCATCACAACCTTCTCTGTGTGTCCTCTTTGTGTTCCCGTTGCCCAGACGTTGCTGCACATACGCAGGATGGAGCTGCGACCACTTGTTATGTGCTTTGCTCTCTGCGTGGTTTACGCCACCAGTAAACCCACCGAGAAGAAAGAACGCGTCCACCACGATGAACCCCTCAGCAACAGAGATCACGATGATATAGAGAACTTTGACTACGACCACGAAGCTTTTCTGGGACAAGAGGAGGCCAAGACCTTTGACCAGCTCACACCGGAGGAGAGCAAGGAGAGACTCGGGTAAGACAACCTGTCAGGGAAGTTGTTCATATCTGCTTTTAAAAGACTATTAAAAGTCACCGCGGTAATGACCAAGTTTTTCCCTCAAACAGCAGTGAAGTTTGTCTGAGGTGACCCCATATGAACGCGCTGCATGTTTGCCATATTTCTTTCATTTACCCACAGCATGTTAGTTGAGCGTATAGATGACGATAAGGATGGCTACGTCACTGTTGAGGAGATGAAGAAGTGGATCAAGCATGCGCAGAAGAAGTGGATCTACGATGATGTGGATCGACAGTGGAAGAGTCATGACCTAAATGGGGATGACGTGGTGTCCTGGGAGGAGTACAAGAACGCCACGTATGGATACATCCTGGGTACAGCTGCAGACATATTTTCTTTTCACACAGTTGATGTATTCCCTGTGCACGCAATGGACACGGAAACAAATTTGCCACATACGCATCCACACACTATACAAAGATGTGACCGCTGACTTGCAGATGATCCCGACCCCGATGATGGCTTCAGCTACAGGCAGATGATGGCTCGCGATGAGAGAAGGTTCAAAATGGCCGACCAAGACAACGACTTGAAAGCCAACAAGGAGGAGTTTACGGCCTTCCTTCACCCTGAGGAGTACGACCACATGAAAGACATTGTAGTACTGGTGAGTGATTTACGCACCCCGCTGTTAATTGATAACACCAGCACCGTTGCACTTCCCTTCTTACTGCTCTGCGTTCTCTTTTCTTGCAATAGGAAACTATGGAAGACATCGACAAGAATGCAGATGGTTTAATAGATTTAGACGAGTACATAGGTAAGTTTAAGTTCATTTTTTATATAAGCACCATCAATTTACACCTCACACCTTTATTGTATTTGGTGAAAGCGCAAGATGCAGGAAAGCGTATTGAGTGTGGCAACACAACAACACCCTCCTTCTGTGCTGTAGGTGACATGTACAACCAGGAGGGAGATGCCTCAGAGCCTGAGTGGGTGAAGACGGAGAGGGAACAGTTTACAGAGTTCAGAGACAAAAACAAAGACGGAAAGATGGACAAGGAGGAGACCAGGGACTGGATCCTGCCCAGTGACTACGACCACGCTGACGCCGAGGCCAAGCATCTGGTCTATGAGTCCGACGCAGACAAAGTATGTACTGGAAGATCTGTCATCGGATATGCATTGTTCCCCCCCTTCCTTGTTCATCGGTGGGGGGAACACTGCTCTTTGTGTACTGACACAAGTCTTGTCGTGTGTTGTTCTCTCTCCATCAGGACGGCCGTCTGACCAAGGCAGAAATCGTGGATAAGTACGATCTGTTCGTGGGCAGTCAGGCGACCGATTTCGGAGAAGCTCTGACTCGACACGACGAGTTCTAACACCCGCCCGCCTCCAAAGACTCTGCGTTTATCTTGTACACCACCGCACTCCTCCAACAGCGGATGGAGTAACTTCAACAAGATGAGCTCACCTAATCCAACGCCATGAACAATAATTTATTTGATTTGTTGAATGTGTCCCGTTATACACACACACATCAATATTAAACACTGAGTTTGTCCTCATGCTCAGTTCTGTGTAAAATTGGGATATATTGCCAGCGTGTACTCTGCTTCCACACACGCTTCTTCCCTTTCCCAGTTCGGGCAAAGAACAAATAGTGTTGACGACAATTTAGTTTTTTGTTTTGTTTTTTATCTGAAAGAAAGATTTTATGAAAAGCAATGTTTTGTAATGAAAACCTAAACGAACAAATTTCAGTTGGCACGATACAGATTAGTTTATTGCACCATTTTCTTTTTCCAGTTCATTGAGCTGTGAAAAGTGAATCTTAATTTCTCCTCCATCTATCATGTCACGTGTGTGTCAGTGATATAATGCGCTAACTCTGGAGTTCAGGGGACGAGGAGTAAATATTAGATTCCGGTGACGAACACTATTTGGACCAGTGCAATAGGGTATCATCAGTGGTGTCTATACTATACTTGTCCCCAAAGCATCCATGTTAACACAAGCTGTGTCCCTGCACAAAGGCAGGTTGTGTGTTTGGTTAAGAAGGAATCAAGAATTCATAATTTAGGGATTGATGGACGCTTTGTCCACAAAGTTTCTTTTTTTTCTTTCTTCTCATCAATCACATGTTTGTACATGGGAATCTTTGTATACTTGTCTTTTTGATTCATCCTTTCTTTATGTTACGTTTTGTTGTATTTAGCTCACTTATGTGCCAAGCAAAATACCTTGTCTGAATTTTTTTTAAAGTTTAGATTTGAAAAAGAAAATCCTTTTCCCATCAAACACTTTACCCTCCTAAATATGATTAATGCTTATATTATCCTTCCCACCATTTATAACCACTGAAATGTTTTATGGTATACTATAATGTATATGATGTTTTTTTACAGGCTCACAGCACCCTTTCACTTGTGTGACTTTAGTGTAAATAAGTTGTTGGTCTGCAAACTGAGCACTCTTACATCAAGTCCAGTTTTTGTGATTGAGAGGAACGTTCTCAATAAAAACCAACTAAATTATTTGTTTGCCAACTTCTTTTGACTTGTACCAGTTGCCAGGTGTTTTCACGTGGCAGCTACTATTACAAGTGACAGGGTGTTCATCGCACTCAAGCTATTGTTCTCAGGAAGTTGCTTTTGTGTAAAGAAAAACAAATCCGTGGGTTTTTTCTCTAGTCCAAAAACATCCTCACATTTACAATAACTGCTTTTATGATAATCTCGTGTGTTGGTACTTAGCGGTTTCAAATGATCTGTGTTCCGTTAGAATCAATGTCCATCTCCGCTTTCTTCCTCTTTAGGTAATGCTGTTTCCTGCTTTCCTTCAGGCTGTTGACCCTCTGATCTCCGGCCTGTTGTTTCACTCTTTTTCCTCTCGCCATCTGCTTAAGCAGATCTATTAGCCCCTGTTGACCTTCCCATAATCAATCAAACATGGGCTTTTTAAAATCTTAACAAGTATCACAAGTGAAATCTTTAGATGTTTATTTTCCAGGTCTGTCAATATAAGCAACTGAAGCTTGTATGAGTTTCTTCTTACCCCTTAACAAGTAAACATACTCTAACCAATTTCAATTGGCCATTTAGTTGCTTCAATGACCCAGTTAACTCTTCGGGCATCAGCTTATCTGATCTGCAAGTTAATATGTTTAATAATTGTGTCACAATCCTTTCCGGTTGTGTGTTTATTAATATGTTTGCGTGCTAGTTCTGTACTCTCATTCTGGCCAGGCTTGCCAGTCACACTGCACTCTATGGAAGCCCATACTTTACTAAAATGAAGACTTATCTTCAATATGAAAATGTATTTCCACAAAAGCATAACGGTTGCCTACATGTGTATGTTTTATTTGAGTAACATTTCAAATTGTTTTTCAAATTCAAAAAAATACAATGTAATATAAACAACGTTTCCCGACTTTCATTTATGCCAACATTCATTCGTAACAATTGGGAAATTTAAATTGAATGCATATTTATTGCTGTCATCCACAATTCAATTAAGCCCCCAAAGTACCCCCAAGAAAGCAAGTATTGCCACCAGGTACGCCGCACTCTGCATGCACCCACCAATATCTAAGTAGGAGTTCAAGTCAAAAGTCATTGCACAACACGAGACCCTTTGTGAATGGTTTGGCCGTATGGGTTATTTAGGTTGAAACATCCTGTAACTCGTGTTGATGACGTGTGGTGATTGTTTTGGACAGCTCGTGTTAACCGTACAGTCCAGAATCCAAAGTCCAGAGACTTGAGGTGTTGTTGCTGTCATGTCGCAGCGTTTAAAACATGCATGCTCTGAGGTTCATTGATGCCAACAAGCCAAGCTTGAGCTTAGCCTTAGTCTTAGCATGAAGCATAGGTGTAACACATTGGAGAAGTAGATATTCTTCTCTTTGTGTGCTTTAGAGTTTACACTGAATTACTTCTTAACGTTTCTCAGCTACACGCAAAGTAATGAACTAGTAGCTAGCATGACAGAAAATGCAAAGGCTTTATTATGAGCAAATTCTACTTGAAATATGCATCATTTTGTTAGTTCTTTTGCAGTTCATCTGTAAGGTGGAGCTTTGTTTGTTAACGATTAGCTACGCTGTACCGTGTGCTACGACTCACGTCAAACAAGCAACAGGTTGAATGAAAACACATCGTGGCATCACTTCCTAAATGTGATAAAAATGGGATTACATCGAGCCATCACTCTCAGCAGCTCTTCGTCGTCTGGGTCCAACTCATCGCTATCCTCATCCTCATTGTTCTTGTCTGCATCTTTATCCCCCAGGAAACCATCATCATCAGCATCATCGACCTCCCCCGGCCGGCGGATGACCAGCCTGTTTCCCACGTTTGTCGATGGCCTCCGGTCCTGAGACGGACCGCCGGCGTCTGAAGCTCCGCTGGGGCGTCCTGACCCCTCTATTGGGTCCGTGGATGTGGAGGGTTGGTCTGGCTCTGCGCTCGGAGTCACGGACGACGGCCCTGGAGTTACGGGAGGTGTGTCGAGGGGAGATGTTTCTATCTGCACGAACATGGCCTTTAGAGGTGCACGCTCGGGGGTGGACAGGGGTGTGCCCGTCTGCGTGGGAGGCAGTGAGGACAGCAAAGGGGAATACGGGGGCGTCTTCACGCGGAGCTTGCGGAAAGGTTTGTCTATTTCCGCGGAAGCGATTCGGGTGTGGCTGCATGGAACACTGCATTCGGAGGAGGGGCTGGCGTCAGGGTCGCCAGGCTCCTCCTCGCCGGTTGTTTCTGCGGTTCGTGAATCGGATGGCGTGCTGGTGGCGTCGGGGGTTGCGGGGCCGGGGCTGACGTCGGGCGGTGCCTCGGAAGGCTTTTCTTTGGGTGGAGCCATGCCCGTGAGGGTCACGTCCACGGGGGCCGGGTGAAAGGCGGGTGACCAGGAGGAGCATTTGATTGGTGTAGAATCGTCATCAGTGACAACCACGGGGCTGGTCGCGGTGCCAGTGGGGGTGAAGCCGGCGTCGGGTGCAGCGTCCTTCCTGGGCGGAGCGGGTCCCCGGTATGAGGGCAGGTCTTGGTGGGTGTTGATGACGGGGTTGTCTAGTAAGCTGAAGGAAGGGTTGCAAGTTCCAAATTCTTCATTGTTGCGGTGTACTTTCTCCGTGTGCGGCATGCCGCTACGGTGACTCACCTGGAGGGCAAAAGTTAAACCGCCATTGCAGTGTCTTGCATTGTATGTTGAAGTGTGCCTCACTTTGTACAGCGTTCCTGGACCATTGAAGCAGCAGTTTGACAAAAACAATTCTCAAAACAAGATCCAACTTGTTGTGGCTTGCCGAAGCTTCCAACCACATCTCGTGGTCTTTATCAACAGCTGGATTTGTTCAGTTGTCCCATACGTAGGTCTTGTACGGTAACTACTGAATGCTCTCCGTGTCAACTGAGAGACTCCATCCGGTGATGAAGGACAGGAGATGTAGTCAAAAGCTTCAGAAAAGGCGAATCATTTGGAGTAGTTTTTGTCAAACTGTATTCTGTTCATTTACGTTAAGTATGGTTCAGAGACATAACTGAGAAATTGAGATCATGACAAATATACGATGAAAGTTATTAAAGGAAAGGTACCTGAAATAAAGGATGAACATTAACTCCGGTACTAGTTATTTACTCACCAGTTGGAACCAACGTAAGCTCTGTGGGAGAAAATACCATGAAGAATATTTCAGAAAATCACTGGCTATCAAATCTTGGTAAATATGAGAATATATTGAGGGATCTTACCACATTGGGGTGTTTTCCTTGAGCCACGCAGCCTCTTTGCAGTGGGTTCCTCTTTCCCTTGTGTTTCCTCTTCAGCCATACCACCACAGACAGGGTGCATCCGAGGAAGGACATGAACACCATGCACAGGAACATGGCTTTGCCCAAAGTGCAGCTTACCGGATGCGTATCCCCCAGTGAACTGTTGGGGACTGAGGTGTGTGCGCACAGACATACAGATAAAGATCAGGAATCATACTCAATGCCCATGTGTAATAATTGACATCAAAACTATTCCTACCCATACAAGAGTTTGCAGGTTTTTTCAATTAAAAGTTTGAACAGGCACGAGGAACAACTACCGAGATCCATCCTGTTCACCCAGTCTGTGTACAGCAAAATACTCCAAGTGAGTTTGAGTTCTCTCTGGTAAACATTTACTGTGCTGTATTGTGAGGTAAGAACAGCAGGAGTGGATATTGTGAAATGTGGTGTCTTGGTTCAGACTAAGAAAGAAGGACGAAAAGAAAGAAAAACTATCTGACAAGCTCTGCTATTCGTTTCTAACAGTATGGACTTCCTGTCTCCTAATGTGAGTGGTCATATTTATTTTGCTAGCATTACAAATGTACACAGCTTAACCTAATTGTTGTGGGTTGTGAGACAGTGTTCCTGAATCAGGGAACGATGTCAAAGGAAGTTGTCCTTACTGGGCTGTCTTTAAAATTCTACATTCCTTTCCAAATCTTCTGAAGCTATGTGGCTTTAAAATAAAAGAAAGCCAGAAAGTGGCGAAACCCACATCACACAGATACAGGAAACTGACTGAGAGGGATGCATCCTCTCTGAAATATCTCTTAAAACATCTTGTCCGCACAAGTTATGGTTGATGCATTACCTCAGAAAGCTGAGAAATCTCAGAAAGGTTGCGAAGTACTCGTGCCCTTACTTGATTGTCCTTCAGATAACACTTCCACCACCACAGTGGCAAATGTGGCCTCGCCTGACTCCTGGTCTCTTGCCGTTACCTGCAAATGATTTAGACTTTTGTTCATCACATCTCAAAACCTTTGTCTCGACTGTCTCGTGAGTCAAAGGGGTTTATGTTAATACTTGCAGCACCATGCAGCAGCACGTGTGAGGTTTTATGCGCTTTGAGTTGTTGCCACCGGACATGTTCATTAAAATGGAAAATAACTTGACAACATCCCTTGTTTACTGTGTAATTATAGTATATGAAGACGATACTGCACAGTTATAGTGTGCACGGTGAAACATTTGGGGTTTTCCATTTATTTTGCCCTTGTGCAGTCAGCCTAATGAAGGACCATCCATCTCGAACGGCTTCCATGCAAATCAACGAATCCGTCAAAACACTTATTGTACTTAGCGTGAATAAAATAGGACGATATCGGTAAGCTGACAAAATGAGAAGGAAGAATCAGTAGAAGTGTCCTTCATTTTAATCAAGGGTTAAACTGGGTTTTGACTGAGGCTCACCTCTAGAAAGTGGATCTGTTTTGGTCGGAGTTGATTGGTCCTGGCAATCAGAAGGCCCTCCTGTGTGATTTGGTAGATTTCTGTGTGATTGGATGTAGGACTGAAGGTGAAGTGGATCATGGGATTGAAGCCCTGTTTAAAAAGATAATAAAATAGGGTGATAAAATATTGTACTTTGAGTGTGTATGTTATGTGTGCGTGGTCGAGTGCAATGCGTACGTGCTTAAAGTCTCGATCTTGCACTTTTAACACCAGTGCTTTGCTTCCATAAGTGTTGACCAGAGAGGCCGTGGTCTTTCCGGCAGTTACAAAGCCTTGATATTCAGCTGTGTCAAATTCTGGATAAAACTGGTTCACGGCCAGAACTCTGACCAACACCGTGGCAACAGAATACTTCCTAGGGTCGTCGTCCTGATACGCCTGCGTGCAAGACAAGAAAACAGATCACTGAGATTGGTCCAGAGAGTGCGAAGGCAGAGAGCACTTAAGTATGTGAGCCTTACCATGACCTGTAGATGCAGCTCTGGGGTTGTGAGTCTGTCTCCAACTACGCAAATCATTTTCAACTCCCCCGTTTCTCTGTCCATCAGGAAACACCCATGATCGTTTCCTATCATCACAAACACAAACGCAGTTTCAGGCCTAAGCGCAGCCCGTTTTTTAATATTGAAATGTGTCGGTGTGGACGGTACCTGAGATAATGGCGTAGCTGAGCGGCGAGCTGAGTCCTCTGTCTCCATCCACAGCGTGAATGGGACCAGGCCAGAAGTCTAACACAATGTCCTGCAACAAACACACAATTGTTGGTCCTAATCCATGGTTTCCGATCCACAAAGACCATGCATGTCTGTGTGTAGTGTGATTAAGGGGGCGGGGGGACTTTAGCATCTGACCTCTTCCACCTCTGTGACGTTTACTGTGTACAAAGGACTGGTGCAGATGCGACTGGTTTCATCCTGGAAAAGGAGCTCGCAGGGCACGAACTGTGGGTACTGGTCATCTCCATCCTGGACGTTGATGGTCATTTTGGTGCTGGCATTGAAGCGCTCAGCAGTGTTCATTTCCTGGGACGACAAAGAAGCTCAGATTTATTTTGATGGCATTTAACTGGTCATCTAAATCAGTGACTGACAATAGAAACATATACAGATGCGTTTACGTGTCGATATATTTATTCAAAAACCATCCAAAATGAAATGTTCATAGCTTACGGAGGCGTGGATGGTGACAGTGAGCAGGGTTTTGGTCTCATAATCAAGGGGCCTGGATAGGATCACCTGCCCACTGTTGGGGAGATCAACCCTGAAGTACTCTGCATCCGGCTGAAGGACACACACCAAAACATTAACAATAGTTCCTTTTTTGATGGAGTTTTTCCTTTCGTTTGAAGAGTAGAACTTACTGACGCCTGGTCGATGGAGTAAATGATCTTGTCATTATCTGCATCTTTGGCCTGGACAGTGAACACCACAGTGTTCACTGGAGTCAGCTGGAAAACACGTTGGTACTTTAGTAACCTGCACTCTGTCTATGCGTATCCTTATATTTGTGAAGGTGCCTCACCTCGTTGATAGTAAGAGACTGGGCCGCGTCTTTTGCAAACACAGGTGAATTATCGTTCTCATTGAGAACCTCCACCATGATCCTGTACACGCTCTACAACATCCAAAAAAGACACATAGAGGTTTGCTCTGCTGAATTTCCGCAAATTCCCTCAAAGTCGGTTTAGGTGTCGCTGAGAGAGCGAATCAGCTGAATAGTGGCTCAATATCCTTCTCTCCATGGGTCCCTGACTTAACAACACTTTGGAGTTACATTTTCCCTTTGTCTGTGATTCCTCGGGGGCGGCATTTTCTACCAGAACAGAGAACAGTAGCAGTAGTAGTAGTAGTAGTAGTAATAGTAGTACAATGAGTGCTTCCATCAGTATGTGCGCCGTACAGACAATTGCTTAAAGACTGGGAAAGAATTCCTCTTCATCAAAATAATCAACTTCAGATAAATTAAAGTGTGTGACTAGAGGTTTGAGTGTTGGATGGAACGCTTAAGAGTTATACGTAAGATGAAGGTTGAAGTGTACCTGAAGTGCGTCGTCCTGGTAACATGATAACTCAGCCATTAGGACAGGACCCTGAGCCTGACAGAGACAACATGAGGAAACAAAGAAGAAGGACCCCGAATAGTTGACCATTCATGTTTTTGCATTCATGAATTTAGGATTAATTCAAACGAACGATTCTATAAAATCAGGTGGGGGAGGCACAAAATATATTTTTGTGTCACACTCTAACCAACATGGGGGATTTGACAATCAGTCACCATCACGAATAACTATGTAACTTCTTACTGGAACAGCTCTAATTCACATTTTGAGATGATTACCAAGATGTAACTCTATGACGAGGCTCCTGGAAAGACACCTAATATATATTATATATATATTATGTTATTCATGTTAACTTGTTTTTCATTTCATGATTATAGTTACACTAAAAATATGACACTCTAAAAGGGAGGAGTCTTTAATAACCAACTATCCTGATCACACGCCAAGTAAACTTTCTAGCTATGATAACAGCTTGTCTTTGTTTGGCTAGAGAGCAAATAGAGAGTGAGAGATCGCTAATCTAGTTGACCCCTTAGCAGCTGCCGTGATGTAGATCAGCTGGGGAGAGGATCACAGTAAGAGGTTGTGTTTTGTCCAAGAACCAGGCTGCAGGGATCAGTTTGGCGACAGTTTGCTGTACATTTAAACACAATTTCCTTTAGCCATAACATCAGAAGCCTTTCCTATGATATCGCCACTCTATTTCATTTGGGCTTCCTTATTATTGGAGAGTTCCAAGTGTTTCAGAGGGCACACGCTGACTCAGTTTACCTCTCGGTCGAGGACCCTGTCAGCTGATGCGTTCAGCCGGATGCTCCCTTCATCCAAGAAAAACCAATCAGCATCTTTCCCATCCAGGCGCCAGTGAACCCCGTCCATTGTGGTTTCAGCCATGAGTTCAGCAACAACTTCTCCTGAATGGCTGTTTTCTCTGATCGCTGTGACCACATCCTGACCATCCAAACATCCATCCCACCCTGACATTCCTGCGTCAATGCAAACACATGTGCAGAGTGTAAGAAGCCCATTCATTTCTGCCCTAAGAACCAAACTCCTATGGGAACATACATGACGTGGCCGTACCCGTGGCTGTGTGGAGGAACGGTAGGACCAGCAGCGAGCAGACGAGGGCTTCGGCCTGAAATAAACTCCATTTCAGCTCAGCGAGGGCCATCGTTGGCCTCAGTAAGGCCTTCCTTTAGGAGAAATAAGAAACACACGACGAGTTAAACGCGATCATCCTTTCCCCTTCTGCGGGACGAATGAGAGGGCTGAGCCCAGCTTTATCCTTTGTCTTAATGACAACACGTCCTGAGAAGCATCATTGCGCTAAGACCTTCTCTTAACGTTCAAACACAAGCACGCACGCTTCCTTCAAATCCCTTTAACGTGGGTTTAGGTGTGGCGGTGAGAGCGGACCAGTTGACAACAATACTTCAGTAATAGTCGATGCTTGTGATTTATATTCTGTGTTTGTGTTATTTTAGAGGGTCTTAATTTTCTACAAGCACAGAGAAGAGTAACAATCCATCCTTTTAGCGTTTGCTGTACAGACAACGCAATGGAAACCTGTCCATATTTCTCCTCCACCATATTCAACCTCTGTTATATTTCTGTGTGTCTGAATTGGGTGGGTGGGGTGAGTGGGCTTTTCCAGGATCCGCAATCCGCTGCAAATACGCAGTAAATAAACTCTCAACACAGTCTGTGCCGTTCAGTGGACTGACCTGTTGTTGTCAAATCCTCTGCAGCTTGTCTGTCAGTCTCCATATCCTCTCGACTTGTGATGGAAGCAACATCTCTGATTCCCAAAGCCCTGAAGAAGCCACTAAACGCCGCTCGATGTAGACATGCAGAGGCTGTTAACAATATGATAAACAATATGGACACAATACATGACACCACACACGTAAACCGGCAAGTAGACAGCACCTTATGGTGTCGCCCTGGATCAACGGCAGCTCAGAAGCTAAAGCCCAAAGGAGGGGCTTGGCCGGTCAGAGACAAAGACGGAGCCAATCACATCAAAGACAGCAAGAATTCTCCAGTGCGGTCAGAGACCACAAGTGAATTTAAGAGATTTATTTAGTACAAAGACATGTGACCTTCATAAATAGTTTATCATTGAGCAGTCATCTTTCCCCATTCAGCTGTAGTTTCGGCGGCTGTGTCACAGAGCGTAATAAGACATCATTTTTTGGCAATGTTTGATCGTATTTTAAATATACGTCTGCAGTAGTTGTCCATGTATTGAATAGGTTAGACCTTGCTAAAGAGTATCAGTATGTACTCTATTTACGCAGCTTACACCTCCGGGATTTGTTGAATTAGCGTCACTGACATGTGACAACTAATGTGCCCTGACAAGGGATTAGCTATCAAACATCGGCTGTTCACCCTCTGAAGATTAACCCATTTGCTTTCACACAGTTGTGCCATCATGGGCAGGCACGCGCACATGACACGCACACACACAGACACACACAGAGACGGACACTCTTAAAGAATTACAAAGTTTGCTTAGTGGTGGATTGTCCTTGACTTAGAGGACAAACACTCCTCATATCTTGTTTATTAGCTTTTCAATGGTATATCACACACACACAGAGTATAGTGGACGAGATCAGCCGTGCGTTTTAGTTATTTAATTTCAATTTGTTGACATATTAAGGTTGATTTTATAATAATTTGGTAGATTAATATAGTTGTATCATACTGCTGTGATTGGTCGTGGCCACTGGATGTCAGCAGAGATGTTGTTAAAAGGATGACAGGGCTTGGATGATGGATAACAGCTGGCTTGGACAACCTCATCATCTGAACATCTGTTTCCAGAATGTGTGTTTTGCTTTTTCATGTAATGATGTTATCTCACATGGAAGTTGAGTAAAATCCCTCTTAGGTCAAAATTCATCATTTTAATCACTTTGTTTATGACTAAACACCTGCAAAACGTATGACATTCTTATTAGAACCACCGCCGAGTTTAGTGCTAATTACAAAATGTCTGCATGCTAACACGCTAAACTAAGATGTCATGCAAAAGCTAAACAAACGATGCATAGCGTTTTTCCATTTGTCTTCCGCATGAACACAACTGTAGTCTGTGGACAACGTTGATGTGAAAAAATTTGAATTGTGAAAAATGTAAGCTAAAATTACACATCATAAACCTTTATTCTCCACTAAATAAAAGCGCTGAATAAAAGACTGCTCACAGCAGTTCTCAACATGGTGACACTTTAGCATGCGGCTCGCAGCTAATGATGCTAACAGTGCCTGAGGCAACAATGCTATGAAAGGAAATGGGTGTTTACTTGAGGGGGTAAGCTGAGGATGAGTGCTACACTTTAATAGTAACGCTGATACCATCACATGGGAGCGGATCAGTGAAAAATGCTCACGTACACTTTTGCTGCTAGTGGTCAAAACAATCTTTTTTAAATAATGCGGTATTGCCAAGCGAAGTGCTTTATCACTGTCTGTAAGTCCTCTTGGCCTGAAAGGGGCACAGCATCTGGAAGGATTTTGTGTCGTTTGAAAAAACACAGGAGGGAATAGAGCAAGTCCTCTGGGTAAACTTTTAAATTGTGATTATTAGAGACTAGCCGGCATGAGTCACTGAGGGGACAAGTATGTGGACAGACGGTGGGAAGGTCTTAAAATCATGGCTTCAAAGTAGTGTCTTCTTTAATCCTGGATTTCCTTCAATAGACGTACCCTGAATTTGCATAGAAAACTATCTGGAGTGGTGAGGGACTCATCCATCGTGACACATCTGGGTATCCTCACACCAAAAAAAAACACAAGACAGAGGGGCAGGTCTGTCTTTTTGAGACTTCAGTGTCTGTGTATCTCAGGGCTATTGCTTGTGAGAGTGCACAGAACACAGTAGAGCAAAGAAGGACAACAATATGAAGGCGAAGCCAAGAGTTGTGGAGACAGGACGGGGAGGGGTTGAGGGGGGGGGGCACCGTGGGATGCACACTGGGACCGTTTCCAATGCGGTGAAACATGACTACTTGTGCTTTCCCCCTCCCTCCCTCCCTCCCTCTCTCTCTCTCTCTCTCTGTGCACACACACACACACAGACACAGACAAACATCTTTGGCTTCTTATAGCGTGGATCCCCTCCACCTCCGGACCAGGTTTTAGCTGATTACCAAAACGGGGGTCTTTGGGAATCAACACTACTGAGCCAAAATATGTCTCTTTTTTTCTGCCTGACAAAAGGAGGGAAAACAAGGGAAGAAAGGACTTCACCCACACCTATCCTTTCGGTTCTGGGAACAGACGAGAGCCAGTGACCTCATGCACACTGCACGTCTGACGTTTTCTTTTTTTTTCTCTCTGTATCGTTAGAAATTGCAAGCATCTTGAGCGAGGATAGGAATAAAAATTAAACTCTATGCCTTTGTGATCGTGGAGGGAGAGTTCGTTGTGGATATGGCCCCGGGGGAAATGTAATTGTTTGTCTGCAGAGAAGTGACGCCCTGCCTGCATCCAGATGTTTCATGTTTCCCCTGTGTGCTCTTTGGAAAAGATCTACTCGCAGAGAAGGCAGGAGTTCAGGGTCCAGGGTCCATTTTAACAGATTAAGTTTAAAAAGACAATGAATACTAGTTATTTTGCGTAAATAGTTGGGATTTTAATCCAGGCTTTATATTCTGGTTCTGGAGAATGAAGAGCGGCAAGCTGAGGACACTCATGTTGCTGGAGTTACATTTGCTCTGTGTCTTTGCACTGTCTGTACAGGGGCACTCCAGTCCAAAAAACAAGAATGGTGAGTTTACAAAAGCATGCACTAGTGTTTTTTTTATTTTATATTTTGTTCCTTTAACTTTTTTGTTTTCTTATCGAGATCTTTTTCCTTGGTAAAAGTAGAAATACTGCAAAGTGTAATTATTGAAGTAATAAAACCAAAGTGCTTCATGCAACATATTCTTGTAAAGTAAGTACTTATTTTTGCTGTACTGTGTTGCATACCATATATTGGTATTCAGTTATCATCATTCATTATTTTTCCCATGCAACATTTTATAGCTGTTGTGTTGGTGAACATGTTAATTGTATTACGTAGTTACTTTGTGCACATTCACTAAGTTACTTTCCAGACCTGTTAGAAAACTATACATGTTTCCCACGGACTAAACAAACTTAGTAACTTTTAGCAGTAAGGATTTATTTACTGCAGTGACGGGCTGATGAAATGGTTTTGATTCTGTTTCACACAGATGCACGCGCTTGTTAGAACTTAGAAAACCACAGCGTCAACCTCCATCAGATAAAGCATGACCTCTCTATGACTTTGTCACCAGTCTGCTTTATGTCTCTCCTAGTGATTGACCTTCTGGCCGCCCTCAACGTCTCCCACCACATAAGCGGTGGGGCCAGGCAGCAAGGTCCTGGCGGTGTGATGTACAAAATACGTCCCAGAGCACCGTACCTAACTCTCCCTCGTGAATATTCCTACCTGTACTCGCACCTCCAGGGCAGTATGGGGGTGCATTTGGTGGGGCGTCAGTCTTCGGGGTCCAGCGGCACTCTTTTTTCTATCTCCTCTGCCTCCTCGCCCATTCTCCAACTCATCTCCTCCACTCACAATTATTCTCTGCGTTTGGACTACAACGCCGGAGGTAGAGATCAGGGCCTCGTCAGTTTGCACTTCCCAAGGAGGAACCCTTTCTCCGGGGAGGAGTGGGTGCAGTTGGCCGTGAGCCTGGAGACCGATAGGGTGGTGTTTTTTGTCGATTGTCAAGAAGTTGTTGTTTTACCCATAAAAAGTGATGAGAGAATCAACCTGGAGCTGCCTGAAGATACCGTGGTTGCTCTTGCCAGCACACCAGGAAAGAAAGACAGCAGATTTAGCGTGAGTTTCTTGCACTCAGCTGTACTTACTCAAATACGTGAGACGCCGCCTTCACTCATTTATACATTACTTACAAGACCTATTTTAGGACATAACTGAGCTCAAAATGTATGCTTTAATTTTTAGTAACGTTTCTTCATTTCTGGCCCCATTCAAAGTGAATTCTGTATATGCAGTAACATTTAGCATGAGTGCATTTCTGTTTATGAATGCAGGGATATTTGAAGACAGCTGAGATGTCAATGAAAGCTTATCTGAGGAGGCCGTGGCTCTGTGAGAATCTTACAGGTAAAGAAGGGTTTTCTAAATCAAAACTGAATCAATATTATTTTCCTTGATCGCAAAATATTTATATAAATATATATTAGAAGAATTCCATAGAAACACATTAGAAACATACCTTTCAAAATATACATTTAAAAGCTCAATATAGAGCCGTGAACCATATCCTTTTTGTAAAGCTATTGCATGAATGCCCAAGTACACTGGTGTACATTTATTCCACAGTTTTTAACAGAATGCTGAAAAGCAGATAGAATTTGACTAAATGCCGCAGGCTGCAGTGTCTCCCAGTGACTCCCTTCTTCTTTTCTTTTTCTCCATTCGTTGTCCGTATTGCCGACCTTGATAATGAATCAATGAATGAATGTTTTGAGTGCTCTTGTACTGCGGCTCCGAATACAAGTTTTGTCAGTGAATAGTTCTCTTGTAATAAATTATATTGGCTATTTAATAACTAATTCAACTTTATGTTGAAACTCCATTCAGAGTTAGTTAAATACTGCTAATACTCAGTCGTGGGACCTCCTTGGTTTGTGTGTCGTTGGCCCTTAGGCAAATAGTCCCCCAAACCGTTTGTTTATTTTGCCTCAGTATGTTTGTTTATTTTACAGTGTTTGTCCAGGATTTTTTTTCTTTCATTAAGGGTAGAATTATCCAGGAATCTGTTCTCCCAATGTGTGCTGCTTTCTCCTTTCAGATGCTCTGACTTCGTCTATGAACGCAGACAGCTCAGATTCTCGGACTCAAATGTTCCAGCAGGATTCATCCTCCAGTAAACATCAAACGAGCAGCAGGCCAACGGGCCAAACCAACTAT